CCATATTCCTGCCGAATGCCAATCAAATGCGTCTTCGGTCTTTAACACCATGAAACATTTTTGCAATCAAATTCTATAATATGGCAATCGTCTGTTTTGTCAATATTACTTGTATGTTCTGATAAATAGTGGAGATAAATTAAGAGGATGTAGAAAAAAATAAGACATATAATGTAATGCTGATTTAAGAAGCTCTTTCTTTTATTGGTTTTACAAATGTTTAATATTGTGTAAAGAGTTTGCTAACAATGCAATTTAGATACGTTGCAAAGCAACACGAAAATCTCACAGAGTAATTCAGAAGAAGGATCGGCTTCCAAGAAATATCGATTTATATATATCTCCCACCAAGATGGTATAATTTTACATGTACTTTTTACGAGTATCTAAGGAGGTAAAGAATGCTTTACTACACCGATGACCCTCTGTAATGAATCAGAGCCTTATAAGCGACCTACTTCTTTATGCCTCTACGTCTGATTTTTTTTTAAATTCATGTTTGAAGACGAAAAAATAGAAAGGCCCAATAAGATGTCTTTTCAATAAAAAATTTAACATTATTATTATTTTATTTATATTTTATTTATTTATTCATTTGTTTATCTATATATCTATTTTTTGTAAAACTAACAACTATAAAGAAAAAAATCCTTATTTATAATGATAAAAAAGAGGAGAATATTTAAAAAAAAATACATTTGTAGATAATTCATAATGTCAAAAAGCCGTCATAAAGAAAATAATGTACAATATGTAACAAAGAAACAATATAAATGATATGCTGTGAAATCACTAATATAGGTGGGAGGTTATTTTCGTTGTTTTCGAGGACTGAGGAGACCCAGGAATTCATATCCACCACGAAATATAAAATGTGATACACATAACTACTCAAAAATTCTTTGTCCACGAAATGAAATCCGCAGGAGCCAATAGTTTTCCATCAAACCACGAAATTTTGACCTCCTCGAAAATATGTGATTTTACAGTGATTTTTTGTTATTATCTGGTCTTTTTATTGTCAATATACAACAGGAAGGATAATTCGACTGTTGCGTTAATTGTGATGTCAAAAAGATACATCTAGTAACATTGTTGAAGTCAGTTGTGCAACTGAACAGGAAAACGTTTCGAAAGCCTGTTGGGATGAAATATGTGGAGATAACGAACAGTATTCGAGCTCAAAAGTCCACTAAACATTACAAAATAAGAGCAAAGCAAACACGGACCTCTAAAACTTCAGAGGTGGGATCAGGTGACATGGAGGAGTGAGCATCCCCTGCTGACCGGTCACACCGGACCCGCCGTGTGCTCCTTGTCATGATCGGGAAATAACGGAAAAATCCGTCGACAATTCAGTGTGTAAATAATGGCCTAACAATTAGTATGAAAAACGTCAGTCAGCATTTGACTTAATGATAGATTGTATTTGCTGACAAGGTCATTGTATCGACCATAGAACTTACGAAATGATGACTTTAAACGAGACTGTTGATATTCTTGTTTCATCAACTTAATTGACAATAACTTGCCTCGTTTTAGAAATTGTTCATACGTAGAGCGTGTTCTGGCGTATCGAATCAACTGAGAGATATAAACCCCATATGCAGGTGATAAGGGTATATTGCTGCATAAGTAAGGGAAGTTGACGATTGAAAAGTTGAAGTCATCATGTTTATCATAAAGCTTGGTTGTTAGATTACCATTAACGTCTTTTTCAAGTAAAATATCCAAATATGAAACAGATGTGTCAGACTCTGTGGTATCTTTTATCTCAAGCTCACTGGGATATATCGTGTCGACATATGAATGGAAATAACCATTGTTAATTGACAATACGTCGTCGATATATCTAAATGTCTAGTTTAGGGCCACAGCAAGTGTTTTCTTCTTTTCACTTAAAAGATTGTGAACAAATTCTGCGTCATATGAATACAAAAATAGGTTTGCTAATAACGGGGCGCAATTGGTAACCATGGAAATTCCAATAGATTGCTGGAAGACCTGGTCTCCAAAAACCACATAGATATCGTCAATCAGAAACTCGAGCATCTTTTTAATGTCAATTTCAGAGTACTTGTGTGTACAATCAGAGTGCTTTTTAACAAAATAATTTTGTAAATGACCAATGACAAGTAAATTTACGTGTTCCATTTTTATTGAAAAAGCAGCTGTCAACGATGTCAGAAAGTCTGGACTTTAATTTATCGTGGGGAATAGTTGTATATAAAGTTGAAAAGTCGTAAGTTTTTATGTTGTTGATTTTGGTAAAATTTTGTTATTTCAAATTTTCCAAAAGTTCCTTGGAATTTTTTAGTATCCGCATCTGATTTACACCACTTCTTGAATATATTGTGGCACAGTACTCTTGAAGTTTCTCCTTCACTACTGTTAATATCTTGGTGATGAGTAAAGAAAGAGGCTTGGTAGAAAATTTACTGGAACCCGCTATGTATCTTTGTTTGTAAGGATTTTTATGAAGTTTCGGAATCCAATATAGATATGATAACTAAAATTCATTTTGGTTGTTGGGAATATTTAAAATATTCAAAACTGACATATGATTTTGAAGAAATAGATGGAATTGGTGTCTTACATACTACAAAAAAAACATGGACGTTGTGACTTGTATAATGGGCATTCCAAACCTCTCTGTGACAGAAGTTCGTAGAGAAAAATCGTCTACCTTAATTTGCAGCATTCATTGTCCTTTCAGAAAATATTATAAAACAATAATGGCTTTTGGGATGTTTTATATTAAACAAAATTTCATGGACTTGAGGAATTGAAAAATAGTCATATTAAACAGAGATCTTTCTGATTCATATCAAACCATATTCACCACCTAAAGAGTCCATAGTTGTTTTATCATATACTGTGGAATCATTTTAATTCGTGGGGGTCAATGTTCGTGGACAAGCAAAATTTTACTTTGTTCGAGGGGACGTAATTTCGTGGGTTACTCGTTTATACGGTAGATTCAAGTAATCAATATGTTTACAAAATAAACGTTCGTGGGGATGTTAATTCGTGGGTAAGGGTAACCCACGAAATCCACGAACATTGATCCCCCACGAACAATGATGATTCCACAGTAGTTCGGTATTCAATGAACAAGAAATCGATTGCTTCACAACGATAAAATTTTCAATAAAAAGCTTCTATGGCAGATGGGTTCGAAATATGGAGTTTAAGATGTACTAACGTTCAGGTTTTCAATCCTTATGTGTAAGACACATTTCAGCAGTTATCTTCTTCCCACAGGCTTTTGAAACTTTTTTCCTGATAAGTTGCACAGCTGATTCCAGCTGTCACAATCATTGTTTCCCACTTTAAATGAGGTATTATTTGTGAGGTCAATGTTTGTTAACAAGCAAACATTAGTGAAAAGATTGTCTTCTTTATTGTAGATTTAAAAAAAATGATAATAACGTTAGAATACAGTCACGGATCGTTTTTGAAATTATGGTGTCACCCTGAAAAAAAACTGACAACTTACCTGAAAAATCTTTTACGAGCAAAAAAAGGGTGGTGGGGGAGGAGGGTCGGCCTTTCATATAAACATTTTCATACTAAATCAACAGTAAATCATTATTTAGGAAAAAAGTGGGAGGGTGCATCCCCCCCCCCCTTTGATACTACGTGTCTGGAATAAACACTTTAAAAATATAACATTTAAATATTTAATGTTTGCAAAACATCTATGCAATCAATCAATCAAAAAATCTGTCAATCAATCAAGGCTTTGAAAAAAAATAAGTGAGGACCTAGAATAAATAAATTGCACAATACTGAGCAATGAAGTGTTATTATTTTATTTCTGGGAAGCGTAGGGAAAAGTAAAACTAATAAATTGCAGAGAAAAATATTTTGATATCAAGGAATAATACATTAAAACAAAGAGAAATCACAACAAAATGTTAAGATAAGCAACTTGTGCATTAAAATTTAGATACATGTCAATAAACTATTGTTATGTAAATTACTTCATGTATTATGGTTTGTCAACTACAAGAAAGGTTAAATTTATGACACTTAAAAAATTCAAATATAGATAGATGATTTCATTTGGCATATTGATGGACAGCAGTGTTGTTATCTATTTCGAAATTTGAACTACATGTACATTTGAAATTCAATAAAGGTTATACAACATGTATTGGAGGAGAGTGTTTTGTTTGCTAATTGAATTAAAGGGCAAAAAGTTTTCATTTTTTTCCTTTTTAAATCACATGTAGGATTCCCACAAAGATTCAGCAAACTTTTCTTGCTCACTTTGAAAATTTTATACAGAGTTTAATCATTTACAGTTCACTTTTAGCAAAAGAGCACCATTTAATATTAGAATAGAATTGAATGGCGCGGATTGCATATTTGAAGCTAGCAAATTTCGCAAATTAATTTCAATTATAAGAAGCTTTTGTGTGAGAGAAATTCATCTCGATATGTTTGTATGTTTAATTAAATGAATTAGTGAAGGTCCTCCATCAATAATCTCTGATATATTGCAAATGTTCCGCTAACATTTTTAAAGACAATTCGTTCAATACTCGTTTCCCATATTTCCTTAGATTTTTATAAGGTCGAACAAGAAAAGTGTCCTGTACAGCTTCAGTGTAAACAATCTTTCTTACCTTATCATGTTAGATATGTTTAAATCAAAACTTACGTTTTCACCCAATAGGAACTCAATTTTATATTTCTAGTTAAATTTACATAGTTACTTAGCTATTAACCAATCAAAGTTTATAAATTTGAATTCAAATACAAAAGCAAGAATATTCATGGTGACCTATGTTCTATGTCTTTTACATTTCAACCAATAATTTCTCATGTACTGCAGAAAAGACGCCGGAAATAAAATAGGTAGCATGCAGACTTAGCTATTTATACGGATTTTGCAGAAAGGTTTCAATATTAGCGCAACAATCTGGAGAAAACTTTGAGCACTTTACCATTAAGTAGTTTTTGTATTTTTAAGTTTAAAAAAATACTACAAAATGGAATACTATGATTTAAATAATATATTTAGTGAATATCTTGAGCATGCGCAGGATCTACCCGTGGAGTGGAATAAGGAGCATTCTGATGATATAGAAGACAAATATGACACTAATGGAATGCCATCAGTGGTTGTTAATGATACCCCAACTAATCAAAACATAAGTAAAAATTTTGAATCTCTTAAACAAACGCAAACAGACTCTGCATTATCGACAAAAATCGTAAAACGAGCGAAAAGAGGCTGTACTAGCGCTGATCCTGAAACCAAAAAAGGGCGAAGGTTGTCTGCCAATGGACGGGAACGCAGACGAATGCGGATTATGAACGAAGCATTTGATCGTCTGCGAGCTGTGATTCCATCCTCTGGACCAAAGCCACTTTCCAAGTACGATACGTTACTGATGACGCAAAGCTACATCCGGGCACTACAGAGTATTTTGAATGAATGATGTAGTATCTTTTTTGTTAATGTTAGATATTCGGTGATTTTTAAATGACTTGGACAAAGAAATTTGTGTAGTACTGTTTCAGATTCTATTTTATTAATGAAAAAATAACTTACAATTTAAACTCTGTCTGACATGAAATTTAGGCTTTGTTACGTATGAGCTTCCATATCTCTATACCTCGAGTGATTTTCCAAGAATTATTTTAATGCAAAGGACAATTTCAGTCAAAGGTCTGCTATGTTTATGCATGTTTTAAAATAGTAGTAATATTCACCAACATAAATACTGGGAAGATTAAAGTTTGAAAATTCGTTTTTTTCTATAAAGTTATGTTTACAGTTCCGGCATACTATCTGTGTATACAGTCAGTGTTTTGAAGTGTGATGTGTATATAACCACCAGAAATAATTAACTTGACGTTAGACATGATAAATTTGCATAAATATATGATAAAAAATGCCCACATTTATTCTCAGCATTTACTTTTGCGAGTCCAATGTAACGAGTAACACAAAATAATTTTCATGCTGTCGATACGATGTACTTAAAAATATTTAATGCTTGCCAAAATAAAATGTATTTTTAAAATGTTAATGTATATGTTTTTTTAGATGGGTGATAGTACCAAAAGTATAGTATCAAGATTTAATTTTGCAGGTTTCTTTACCTGTCAGTATTTTGTTTTTCTTTTTCTTATATTTTGTTTCATTCTTTTTAAATAAAAGCGTTGTCTTCAAATATAAAGGGATATTTGTGCAATTTTAAGTCAGGTATCTTTACTTCCATCAGTACAAAGACCGACATCTGAAAAAAGAATTTATTTTATAGATAACTGATAAGACTGTGCTCGATTAAGCATAACACAACACACATCTGAAGTATGTATTAGTAAAATAAATAACAATGAAAAAAGGTGAAGATAACGAATAGTGATCGATCTCAAAAAATCTATAAACAATGCAATTCTGTGAAGAGGGCAAAAATCACGGACCCCTGGAAATTCCAGAGGTGGGATCAGGTGACTAGGAGGAGTAAGCATCTCGTGTTGATTGGTGACACTCGCTGTGAGCCCTATGTATTGATCAGGTAGACGGAACATTCCCTGGTCAAATTAAGTATAAAAACAAAGCCCTAACAATTGGTGTAAAACAAGTCAGCCAAAATACGGCCCATTGATAGGCTATCTATTTGCCAACAAGGTAATTACAACGACCATAAAATTTACGAAATGATTACTTCAAACGAGGTTGTTAAAATCCCTCCAACATGAAGTTATCTGTCAGTAGCTTGTCTCGATTTAAAAATTGATCGTACTCGGAGCATGCTCTTGAGTATCGAATAAGTTGGATGTAATCTCCATATGTAGATGATAGCGGGATATTGCTACTTAAATAAGGAAGGTTGACAATGGAAAAAGTCGAAGTCATTTCGTTTGTTACACAATTTAGATGTTAGTTGGCCCTTATCGTCTATAGTCAGTAAAACATCCAAATATGAAATAGATGTGGCAGACTTTGTGGTGTCTTTTATTTCAAGTTTACTGGAATATATCTGTATCGAGTCTGTTGTCATAAAAAATACATAAAAAGTTGTTTTAAAATACTTCACATTAAAACTCATATCAAGATATTTTAACTAACATTTAAAATACAAAATCCTAAAATACTCTCGTTTTTCTTGCGGGGGGGGGGGGGGGACGTTTATATTTCTTTCACTTTCAGGTCATTAAATATATTGCCTTCATGAAATAGCCTTAACCTCCGTGATATGATCGTAAATCAAAATTATGAATGGCGAAATATGAGTCACTTGTCGGACACAACTTTAAGTTTAGGTCAAGACTTGAGAACAATACCGATTTTACAATTTTGTGACAGAAAAACAATCAACCGATCCAAAGATCCTAAATTAAGATATAACCCCCACTGGGGGAGACATACAACAAATTAATGGTAAAGTATATCAGGGAAAATGGAAAATTTAAAAGAATGTTTTCGTGTGTGCATTGCAATATCTACATGGACAATGAAAGATAATCGAACATAAAGAAAGTTATTCAAGCAATCCGCATTGGCAACTCTTTAAATTTTATAATGTTGATTTTTTTTTATCTTATAACGGATCATAAAATTATGATACAGTTGTTATACTCGTATTCTCACAATTTGCAAAATCATATTATTTATTAGTAGTCTGCCTCGGTTTAGAAATGGTTTATACATAGAACATGTTCTTGTGTATTGAATGAACTAGAAGACGTAAACACCTTTTACAGGTGATAAGGGTATATTGCTATAAAGATAAGGGAAGATGACGATAAAAAAAGAATTATTGAAGTCACCACATTTATCAGTAACTTAAGTTGTAAGAGTAGTTTGTTAATAAAGTCCCTACTTAGTAAAACATTCAAATATGAAACAGATATGTTAGACCCTGCGATATCCTTTATTTCGAATTCAGTGGGATACATCAAATCAATGTATGAATGAAAATGAATATTGCAAATTGAAAAATCGATTTATATAAATGTTGATCTGAAGGCCATAGCAAGAGATTTCTTTTATATGTAGTTTTTAAATAAAAGAGTACAAAAACCGGTCTGCTAATAAATTACACAATTATTTAACAGATTTTTAACGATATGTTACAATACATGAAATTTTATCAATGAGGAACTCAAGCATCTTTTTAATATCAACCTCAGGGTATTTGTCTGTAGAATCATAATGATTTTAAATAAAGAAAGATTATAGATGATCAATTTCAAAATATTAAAATTTCCAAGTTCCAAATTTATTCAAGAAGCAGTTGTCTATGATTTCAAAAAGCCTCGTCATTAATTTACCGCGAGATGGTTGTATGAAGTATTGAAAAATGCATTTTTATGCTATTGATTTTGGCAAAATATTGTGATTTCAAATTGATAAGAAGTTCTTTGGAAGTTGTTTTAATATACACATTTGATTAACACCGCTTCTCGAATATGTTGTTGCACAGTACTACTGAAGTTTCTCTGAAGGAGTAAAGAAAGAGACCTGGTAGAAAATTTACTAGATCCTCTTCTGTATCTTTGTTTGTAGGGATTTTTATAAAGTTTTGGAATCCAGTGTAGATATGGTATTTCAAATTAATCTTGTTTTGGAAAACTTGTAAATATTTTAATACATGTACTGACATATGATTTTACAATAATACGAAATCAATTAAATATAACATTTAGTTCTCTTGGTTTATTAGAGTTTGTAAGCTTTCAATCAATTAAAAAACTATGGATCAGCAGTGTCTTCAAAAAATATTTGTGATAAAGTTGTTTAATACATAAAACACAAGAAAACAGGCATGTTCATTAACATGAAATGATTTCTGAAGCCATATCTCCTACTAAAAACTAAATGTCAGAAAATAAATTGTATGTTTGATTCAAAAGATATAATGGATATAAATCGTATTTTATATGAAAGTTGTTATTCCAACGTACATGTATGCTGAATGCAATAATTGTACAAACATTTTAATTATCATTACCGATCATTATTTTCTGTAGCAAAGTAAGTTTTGTGTATAATGTTTTTTATTGATTAATGGCAAAATATTGAATGCTTTAAGTAAAAATATTAGAAATTCAACAAATGTAGTGTAGAGAAATTATCTTAGAAATTATCCCCTCCATACTTTTTACTTCATTTTGTTTCAATTTGCCCTATATTCACAATTATTTATCAAGTTTATATGTATTTTATGTCTTTTAAAAATTAATAGATAATGAGTTGAAGGCAACAGCAAGTGCCTTCTTCTTCTCATGAAGAATTTTTTAAAATAAATTCTGCTTCATTGCAATATGAAAACAGTTCGGCTCGTAAAAGTTCGGTGTTATGCTTCGAGATCATTTGCTCACTAGACAGAATTTCAAGAGAGCTTTTTTTAGAAAAAAAAATTAATATATAACTGTTTTGGACAGTTTGGAATGACATATATAATTGCCTGGAAATTGCAATTACGAAGTTTCTAGTTGTAAGTTGCAACGGATAGTCTTTCTTGATGTAAAAGGTGAAGATAACAGTGATCAATCTCATAAATCCAGTGAAGAATAGAAATCGTAAATTTGTTTGTATGTTGTTTAACGTCCTCTCGAGAATTTTTCACTCATATGGAGACGCCACCACTTGCCGATGGAGAGCTGCAAATTTTGTCCTTTACTCGGCACTTACGGCCATTGAGCAGTGAGGGATCTTTTTCGTGCCAGCGCCTACTGCGACATGGGACCTCGGTTTATACCGTCTCATCCGAAGGACCGGTCTCCACGTCCCACAGTGGGATTCGAACCCGCGACGTAAGGATCAACTCCTTACTTCGCGACTCTAGAGCAGACGCTCTAACCATTGCGCCAAAAACACGGACCCCTGGAAACACCAGAGGTGGGATCGGGTGCCTAGGAGGAGTAAGCACCCCACTGTCCACAAGTTACACTCTCAGTGAGCCCTCTGTAAAGATGAGGTAAACGAAGTAATCCGTAGTCAAATTTATTAAAAATATCAATTGATGGGAAAATGTCCATCAAAATACGACATAACGATAGCTTGTATTTACAAACAAGGTCACTAAAATGACCATAGAATTTGCAAAATGTTAACTTTAAACGGGTTAGTTGAAAACCCTGTAAAATCAACTCATTTTTCATTACCTGCCTCTGTTTAAATATTGATCGTACCCGGAACATGCTCTTGAGTATCGAATAAGTATGGAGACATAAACACCATACGCAGGTGATAGTGGAATATTACATGTCCTGCACAAATAAGGAAAGTTGATGATGGAAAAGTTGAAGTCATCCTGTTTGTCGTATAGTTTAGTTATTGACGTCTAAAGTCAATAAAATATCCAAGTATGAGGCATATGTGACGGACTCTGTGGTGTCTTTTATTAACACTTCACGGTAATATTCGATATGATATATGAATCAAAATAACTATTGTTAAGTCTTATCGTCGATATATCGAAATGTCGACATAAAAGCCACAAAAAGAACTTTCTTCTGTAGAAGTTTTTGAATAAATTCTGCTTCATAAGAATATAAAAATACGTCGGCTAATAAAGGAGCATAATTAATACCAATGGAATTCCAACAGATTGTTGGAAGACGTGGTCTTCGGAGACGACATAAGTGTTGTCAATGAGGAACTCCAGCATCTTTTTAATTTCAACTTCAGAATACTTTTGTGTAGACTCAGAATGGTTTTTACCAAAGTAATTTTGTAGATAACCAATCACAAAGTATGAAAATTTATGAGTTTTAATTTTAATTTAATTTTTATTGAAGAAACAGCTGTCTATTTTGTCAAAAAGTCTCCTCTTTAGTTTTGTGCGAGGAATAGTTGTATAGAGCCTTGAAAAGTCATATGTTTTGATCCGATTGATTTTTGGAAAGTTTTGGGATTTTCAATTTTCAGAAAAAGTTCTTTGGTGTTTTTATAAATACACAATTTATTAGCACGAGTTCTTGAATATGTTGTAGTACAGTACATCTGAAGGTTTTATCTAAGGATAAGGGTCTGGTTGAACATTTACAATGCAATATATCTTTGGAATATTTTATGAAGTTTTGGAAACATGTTTAGGCTCGGTGAGTCAAATGAAATATGGAGATATCGAAAAGTTATCAAGCTCAAATGTCTATTGAAGCAATAAAAATCGGGAGCAGAACAAACATGTACCTCTAAAAAACATCAGATTGGATCAGGTACCATAGAAAAGTAAGCATCCCCTATTGACCGGTCACACCCGCCGTGTGCTCATTGTAATGATCGAGCAAACGGAAAAATCTGTAAGTAATTCAGTGTTATAATATTGGCCTAACAATTAGTATGTATGAAAAACGTCAACATTCTACTAAATGATAGATTGTACAGTATTTGCAGACAAGGTCATTGTATCGACCATAGAACTTGCGAAATGATGACTTCAAACAAGACTATTGATATCCTTGTTTTATCAGTCATCAACTTATTTGTCAATAGCTTGCCTCTTTTTAGAAATTGTTCGTACGTGGAGTTTGCCCTTGCGTTTCGAATCAACTGGGAGAGATAAACCCCATATGCAGGTGATGAGGGATTATTGCTACATAGGTAAAGGGTTTTGACGATAGAAAGTTGAAGTCATCACATTTATGATAAAGTTTTGTTGTTAAGTTACCATTAACGTCTTTTCCTTGTAAAATATCCAAATATGAAACAGCTGTTTCAGACTCTGTGGTATCTTTTATTTCAAGTTCTTTGGGATATATCGAGTCGACATATGAATGGAAGTTACCATTGTTAATCGAAAAAAAATATCGTCGATAGATGTCGAGTTGAAGGCCACAGCAAGTGTCTTCTTCTCATGTATACGGTTTTGAATAAATTCTGCTTCAAACTCACTTCCATTGACTGGAACTATCTGTATATGAATATTATTTATATATATTTAGAAAATTTCAATGAAAATGTATTATTTTCTGGGCACATTTTTATACAGTATTTATTTATGATAAAATAAAATTTTGCATTTAAATCAAGTTTGAAAATTTAATTGATATTTATACAAGAAACTACGCGTGTTTTCTACGCCTTGTAAACATCAAGTCATGCATGCAGTATTTATTTCAATCAAACAGTTATTTACAATTTCTGGCACTTACTTTAAAATATAAAACCAAGCAACTCTCTAATGCTGAATACCAACATGTTTTATCATCTAAGTCTACAATGATTTTAATTTGAAATCATAACCGACTGTTTTAAAATACATTTGTACTATTAGAATATTAAAACACTCAATATGCAATTAATTTAATCTTACACGTAACATCGCATAAACACAGTATCATATTGTTTTTGGTTGGTCGACAGAAATACTACACGACTGATTGATTACTTAAACCGCAATCAATCAATGGCTCGCTGAAATTCCACCTGTCTGCATTATTAATGCTAGATAGCCTGCCGTTTGCGCTCTTTATCCCACATCATATAGGGCGTTTTGTACAAATGGACTCTTTATGACAACATAACGTTCGTAGAGCTTTTTGCAGCTAGTATTCGTTATTTCTGGATATTACTGCGCTGGTAAGTTGTAATGCATATGGATACAATTTTTTTTCTTTTATATCTACAGAATCTTTTTATGTTCTTATCATTAATTGCATCGTTAAGCTAGCTATGAGTTATAAAAATTTCAATTTATTTTTTCATGAATTATATTTATCTTTATTTTGTTCTTTACATTGGTAAAGATGGCTCGGAGTTAGTTTCCGTTATATAGCAATGCCATTCAATAGTTTACATCAAAAGCTACCATCGCATGCTTATCTTCATTCTAGGACCATCAAGAATATGTTATGCAAATTATGACTTCAATTGATGAACTTGTTTATTATTTCAAATTATTAAAAGAGTGACCATGACCTTGAGAAGCATTGACAATATTTGAAGTCTGTCATTAAAGGCAGGCAAATTGTTTACTTGCTCGTTTAAATTGTTCCGGTTGGTGAATTTTTAAATCAGTAATGGACTCGCTTTGCAAATGAACGTCAATCAAAACAAGAAACTGTACCTTTAAAATTTAAAGTTCCTCGGTGTTCATGTTTTCCAATTTTAAACTTGTGAGTAAGTATTTATATATAAATCTTTTATTTACAAATATTTTCTGTAACCTAGGTGTATGTGTGTAATTTCTAATGATTCTATTTTATATACATTATTTTGATAGATTTTCGAGATTGCTACAGATGGCTATACATTCTAGGAAAAGATATCATATATAGTCTGTTGATGGTAAGACCAATTCATTTTCAATCTCTGACGTACATTTACCATGATAAGAATAATACAGTTTGTCTTTACATATCACATCATAGCGATCTGTATAATTAATTTTTATCATTCAAAATAACATTTCATTTCTCAGACCGAAATAAAATCAAGACTGTTGTTGATTCTTGGATTTTTTTTAAAAGTGTATTGCATGGTTTATTCACATTTTCCTTTTATAAAATTTATCAATATTGAAGGAGTGAACTCCAGGCTAGATGTGTTTTTGAATTATTCCTAGAATCCAAACAAACACATCTTTTCGTTATATGCTATAATTTTAGTGTTAATTGAGGGAAACATGAATGATTAAGGGATCTAGTGTTAGATTTAGACATCAACAATGGTAAGGCTGAATTATCACAGATTAGCTTGGTTTATGTTCTAAGATCCACTACACGTTGATTTTTAAATAACTCAGGCGATGCAATACAGAATTTTAATCTGTTAGGCAACTTCTACCAAGACAAAGATGAAAAGCTGTAGCGTGTTTTTAATTTTACTAATACTTTAATCTTCATTGAATATCGACCGCTCCTTCTTTTTGTACTGCTTAACAATCATACATAAATCTTACTGACTTATGAACTAATGCTACCTAGTAATACCTTTATTATGACTTAATACAAGACAATAATAGTTAGAACGGAGACACAATTATCTTCGTTCCGTATCACTTTAGAATTACGTGGGAATTTTTTTACTTCATAGAAGTTGATTCCAATACAATTTTATCACTAGTATTCAATTGATCACATGCATAATGAACATTTCACATTTATGTAACAGCAGAAAATGCAAAGAATTTTTCTGAATGAATACACTATAAAGATAGAAACATCTCATGACCTTTATTATAAAAAGTACAGAGTCATTTATAGATGATTTTTATTTGCCTACTGGAGTTTTTAGACAGATGGAACCTCGGTCTTGAGAATTGCTCTAACTAGAACAGAGCAAGTTTGTCTAGTAAGGTAATCACATTATAACAACGCCATAAAATAGAAAATTCAAGGCCTCATTTTTTCCTCAAAGGTTTATTTAGGTAACCATCATATCTTGTTGCAAGTGGTATGATTTGGATTTTACAAACACGTATAAATTTAATAATGTTAAAAGTTTTTCCTCGGTTGAATATACTTTCCTCTACGTGGAGCATTCTACATAAATGTAATTATAGGACTTAGATATATGGACAATCGAATCCAAATTGTAATGCTAAAAGAAGTAATTAGAAATGCTGTTCATTATTTCATTTACAGAATGTATATTGTTTACCGGATTGCAAAGACTCTGCATACTGGGTCGAGGTCATTATGGGCGTTGAAATTATTCAGAATCTTAATCATCTTGTCATTTTAAATTTTTCGAAGCAGACCATGACTTTAAAATGCATTTAATATGAGAAAGTATTAATGAATAAATGCAAACATGCCACATTCTTATTTTGTTCATAAAAACCAACAAACATAGCATATGTTCTGCAATATATGTAGAAAGAAGGTGGTTAACAAAATGATTGCACTTCTGTGTAGTGGTTATTCACTGATTAGTAATACGTATTGCAATGTTAAATAATACAAATTTATTCAAAGGTGTGAACATGCGAATACCATACAGATAATTAACATTCTTTGACATATAACGTTCTCATTCTTTTCTCCCAGATGTGGTTTAAGATATTCTGAAACTAGACTTGGAACACTATTAACAGAAGCACAATCGGTAAGAACAATTTATATATGTTACTTATTATTGAATTTTCGATGCTTAAATATTCGTTGTACATAAAGTTTTAAGGTGTACATACATATACCAAATGATCCATGATAAAACCCTCTTTTCAAGATAATAAAAAGATTTAGAATCATTTGATATAAACTATTAGAAGTATGTCGTTTATCCAGATGAAATATTTTAGCAGACTTGTAAAGATGTCATCCTTTTTCAACTGGTTGTGCTTCCCCAGTCGCCATGTACGATCGAAACAAAAGTCGAAATTATCAAGGAATCTGGACGATGAAGGTGGATTTCTTTCTGTCAAACAACAAAAGAGGAAATTAAGTAGAAATACTACTCAGAGAACTGACTACGTACGTAAACAGGCTTCGTTCAGCGAGCAAGACAGGAAATACCAAGTCAAAAGTGAACAAAGGCTAGAGGACAGCACTGTACCAAACAAACGAAGGAGAGTTCAGGAAATATTTAACTTACCAAACACAGAACGTTCTGACAGCATCACAAGCCGTAACAACGGAAGTAAATACAGTAGAAATATCAGAGCAAAGGGGGACTTTGGGAGTGAGTATACTCCGAGGATGTACTACCACAACCACAATAGTATAGGAAACAAGTCTGAGAGCATGTACGGATATGTTCCTAAAACTATGCAGACATGTACTGCATCAAAAGCCCTTGAGGGAAACAGGGTGGACGATTTCTTTTCAAATCTTCACAGAGAAAATGCTCTTAATTTGTTTGGGAAGATGAGTTCAAGTAACTGCAGGCAAAATCAAATGATGCCTAAGTTTACCTTTACACATTCCCAGAGTCAGACTTCTTTGTCAACTGCAGATAAAGTATCCCTTATTGAGAGTGAGGAGTTGACTAATGTTGATGATCTTCCTTTAAACTGTGGTGAATTTTATTCCAATATTTCATCACGTGTTAATTCCATTCTGGAGGCTAGTTTCGATTCTATGTGGAATAGCAACGGGGAAGTTTTGTATTAATATTGAACTAGCTTAAAGTATTAATGATGCTTTTCTTTGGTCTACAGTCATGAATGCATAAATTTACGTGAAATATAAATGTACCGTAACATTTTTATATCCTTATCTTTATTTCTCATATACTTTTTCAGATTAGTTAATTGTTTGCCACTTAGTATCTATACGTTATTCTGAGCCTTACCATCAGCTATAGAATCCCTGACCCTCCTTTGGATTGAACTTTGATTTCTTGGGTTATTTTATATCCCATGTCTTCGCTTCATAATTTAATGATTTTTCTATAGCATACCCGAACGTCCCTGCATGTTTAACAAAATGTGTTCTCATCTGTCAATGCATGTAGATCGACAAAATGGAAATTTTCAGTTCTTCAACCTGTTTTATTTAGAACTGTTTCATGAAGCTGATTTTCTTAATATCTACTTACTGGGAATGTTTTAAAGATTATATATGTTTGTCGGTTTTCAAGGTCAATTATTTCAGCCGTTACGAAACTTTCTTCTCTATATTAAAACACTGCTGGTAAAGTGCGAATCGAGAAAATAATGGTTTCGGACACTCGCTACTATGGGCACCTGTGAATTGTCTGGTTAAATTTGTATCTTTTGAAATAACAAAATAAAAATCAATTTTCATAAAGCAAATGTACCAAATAGTTAAGCGATGAAATTGCTTTCATACCCAAAAAGTGCTCAACATCGAAATATACATGCTTTTTATATTGTGTTTTTCATGTACTCGTATTTGAATGACATATAGAGGGCAAGAAGACTAATTGGACAGATTAGTGGATAAATCTAACTTTAATTTAATTATTCAATGTTAAGGAGGCAAACATATGTGCTTTGAATAAACAATATCCAAGGAATTTGCTAATAACAAGTTAATAACTAGCAGTCATTTTGTAGATGCTACAACTGGTTTCTGTTAAACATTAATACGAGCGACTATTTATTAGTGTAAATATGATACGACAACTGGTTTACGTCTATGAGATTGCTGGTTTATGTAACTAAACGCGAAAAAATGCGAAATATTTACATTTTCAAATATTTTTTCCTTAAGATTCTTTGCAAATAAGAAAAAGTCCATGTTCTCATGAACTACCGTGGGAGGAGTAAGAATATTTCCATTGTGATATGAATAAAGTCAGAAAATAGTGCAATCTTTTTTAAAAAAAATAAATAAATAAATGATCGTTGGATGACAAAAATATGTGGCAAGTTATCCGGGAAAAAAATGTAAATATAAGATATGAATTTAATTTTTGAGAATTCATGAGGTACATGAACTACAACGCTTCACGACTGCATATTATTCGCTTCATGAAATGTGCCGGTGTAAAGGCGAATAATGATCCCCATAGAATAATGACCAGGGGTCATTTTTCGCCATCAAATAATGACCCCCGTTGAATAATGACCCCCGGTCATTATTCAACGGCGAAAAATGACCCCCGGTCATTATTCGACGTCGAAAAATGACCCTTTTACCCGTAGAAAAAGTATCATCACCCTAAAAATCTGCATAACCCACCTGAAAAAAAAATGACCCCCGTAGAATAATGACCCCTTGTGAATTAAAGAGGATTAAAGGTGAAATTTTTAGGGGGCAAAATAAAAATAATTTAGCAAGAGACCTGTTGGCCAAAATGCTCACCTGAGCTAAATTAGGAATAAATCGATGATATGTTGATCTCATTACATGTACATTATAAAATTATTGCTGTTTTTAAGGTCAATGCGATGATTCAGAATCTAGAGGAGTAAAAGATTTATCGAGCCCAAAGTTCGAGGTGAGCATTGTTTTTCGATGGTGGAAAATCATCGTACTGACAGAAAAACAGCAATAATTGTTTTATTATGATTCAACGATTAAATTGATACAAACTGTTTAAGCAGACATATCAAGTTTCTTGTTTACATTTGCTCAAGTCATAGCCATACACAGTGAGAGAATCGGAGTTAACATTAGCATATCAAGTAATAATTTTGCATTTGAAATCTAGTTTTGGTGCAATGTAGAAAAAAGAAATGTCAAGCATAGCATCGAAAAGGGGAATGGGGCATTATAAGAGGCAAAATGACAAATTACCTAAGAAATATCTTTGATGAACCCCTTAAAAAGTCTATTGCTGTAAGGGGGATTTCCTTTTTCTCTACTGTATCAAAAAGTTGGGGTAGGGCAACCAGACTTGCAATGACCATTTTGAAGCGAAAAAATTACCTTCATGAAAACGGAAGGGGGAGGACACTCCTACCCCACCCCTGATTCTAGAATGTTACGTTCAGCTTGTCCACTCAAGTAGGAGGGATTTTTTTTATCTATACTGTATAAAAAAGAAAAATAAAATGATGTGTCACAATGATAAATTGAAAATATTTATCTACTTCAATATACACTGTATTGAAATGTTTCCATATTGATTTGACAAACGTATCACTGTTTTGCAGTGGATTTCTAAAGAAAATTATTTCTCTTCCATCTATGTATCCTATTCTCAGGCGACCATGTTAACAGACTTGAAAGTACATAATCATTATGTACATTATACTGGGATTCTTCTTTATTACTTCTATATATTTGAAAAGAAATTCCCATTGACCACTATTTATAAATAAAATTGAATGCACATTATGCGATTGTGTATATTTCAGACATGCAGAAATTTTATGTCCTTTTTATGTTTGCCACGTCTGCTTTATATTTGGACGTCCTACTGACTATAGACGATAAAGACCAACTTACAACTAAATTGTCTGACAAGCGGGATGACTTCAGCTTTTTCCATCGTCAATTTTCCTTAGTTATGTAGTAATATTCCGCTATCATTTGCATATGATGTTAACGTCTACCAAATTATTCGATACCAAAGAACACGATTAAGTTTTAAATCGAGGTAGGCTCCTGACAGATACATGTAAGTTGATGTTACAGGGGTTTCAAAAACCTCATTTAAAGTCAGCATTTCGTAAATTCAATGGTCGTATCACTGACCCTGTCAACAAATATAACCTATAATTGGGTCAATTATTTGGCCTTTCTTCTATACTAAATTCGACAACGGAATGTTCCCTGGTTTATTAATAGGGCTCATGGCAGGTGTGACGGGTCAACAGGGGATGCTTACTCTTTCTAGGCAGCTGATCCTACCTCTGTAATTTTCAGGGGCCTTTTTTATGCCCTGTTAACAGAATTGTATTGTTTGTAGATATTTTAAAATCATCACTGTTCGTTATCTTCTCCTTTTTTTATTAGGAAATATATCCACGGTATGTCGTTCAGATATTATGTCATTTGTGATACATTCTAACTCATTTGCACAACTTTTTATGTCATTCAAAAAATATATAAATATTACATTGCATAACTTTCCGTATATTTTTCCGAAAACTTATTCATTTTTTTTCGTTCACTTTAAAAAAAAATGATCGTACTCAAAGCATGCTGAATACTTTGAGAGACATGTTTACCATTGAAAGAGCCAGAACATCCTACTTGTATGTTTTTTTAGCTATGAATGTCTATAATCAGTCAAATATCCAAATATGAAATAAATGGAAGGCAGTCATAAAGAGAGATTACGTTAAGAGTTATTACCAATAGTAGCCAATTTGCGATTTTCAATATGTGCTGAGAACACAATAGGCTTAAAAGATAGAAATATGCATGTAAATGTAATGTTGTTTTATTGCATTTTAATTGTTCTTTCGTCCAGTGTTAATCAAAAAGGGCATAATTTAAGAAGAATTAAACATTGAGGATCAAACCTTGCCATCAATCACCTGTTTTAAAATGTGTATCACTCTGTTGGAAAAGGGGTCATTTTCCAACGGGGGTCAATTTTTATAGGACGCACATATAAAAATATGACCCCTAGGGCTCTTTTTCTACAAAAAAAAAATATTTTTTCTACGGCTGGGGGTCATTTTTTGTGTATATATCCTCATGAATTCTCAAAAATTAAATTCATCTCTTAAATTAGTAACACTTGCGTGATCAAAGATCATAGTTTTTATAGTTTATTGTCATTTTGGTCATTTCTTCAGGCAATGCAAAACGTTTCATCAATTTTTTTTTTTTTTTTTTTTTTTTTTTTTTTTACAGATATTGTGTTATTAACTTATTTTTTTGTTACTTTCGAATGGAGTACAGCGAGCCAGTCGATGACACCATATAATCCAAAAATGCATCTGTTCGTATCTACGAATATTGTGATGGCTGTAATTTTTTGTCCAAATGGCGATCAAGCTTTTCAAAAAATACTCAGTAAACGAATGCATAATGGAGATATTTCTTCCTTAAATATATGTTTATTCAGAACACATTGTTTCCTTCTTTAGTATTGAACTGCGTTTAATTAAAGCTAGATTTATGATATCTACTAACATGTCCAATTATAAGTAATCCGGTAGCTACATGAAAAGGCTATGTCATTCAAACATTAAAAATTAAATTTTTCCATATAAGTTAATTATTGGAAATATTTAGTGCCTGTACACGCCGAAGGAAGAAAGCATGTTTTTCGAGGGAGAGAGGTGAAATGATACATAGATAAAACGTCTGTCCGGTACAAACACTTTATCTAAAACTGACCAGTTATTTACATGGTCACATAACACATAATTTCCTATGTAGCTTGTAACAAGAGATTTGATTGGTTACAAAGTCGGGTGAAAATTTCCGTACACCCGATTTGAGCCGGGGGTTAAAACACGATTAAAAGCAAATAACGTGACGTCACGATGCATTGTAGGACGTAGTAAATCTTATCGATAGCTTGAAATACAGTTGATTGATTTGTTTACAAAGAATTTATTTGGGTACATAAGAAATAGATTAGTTATCCAGGTCCAATAAAGGGTGTACGGGGATTTATCCCGGGTTGTATTCCATACACCCTTCGGCCTAAGGGTGGATGGAATATAACCCGGGATAAATCCCCGTACACCCTTTATTGGACCTGGATAACTAATAATACAAAATACACAATGATGTCATCACTATTATAACATCATCACGATTATGACGTCATAGCCAGAAATGCATACTGCAAATTACATGCCATAAAATAAGTTTTAAATTGTAATAGTATTTATAACAAGAGGCAATGGGCCACATCGCTCACCTGAGCACATTGGCTAGGAAAAAGAACAAATCAGTTCAGTATTGAAAAGTTTAAAGGGGGGGGGGCTCTTGAATTTTAAACTACCTGAGGATGCTTCCATTTAAGAAATAAGGTATCATTTTTAAACATCTATCGGGATATAAATACGGGTTGGTCACGAGATCAAATTCCATAAAGCCCGAAGGGCTTTATGGTAAATTTGATCTCGTACCAACCCGTATTTATATCCCGATAGATGTTTAAAAATTATACCTTATTACTTATATTTACATTTGTGACTTATTTATATTTTTTATTTGCCTGGTTATAATCTTGAACGTGTGAAGTGTTTTAAATTCAACGGCACGTGTTTAATCCATTGATTGCGCGTCGACCCTTTATGACGTCACTGAGAAATTACGTCGAACGTTTATGACGCGAGGAACCCGTGTTTATACGGATATAGATACACATTGCTTTCAATAGTGTTATATAAAGAAAGGCATTTGCAAATGTAAATATATCAATATAACAAATGACTTTGCTGTTCTTGAGCAGAAGATTTTTAAAGGTTTTTTCCTATTCCCTTGTTAAAAATTTTATCCCCCATTGTGGCCCCTCTTGTGGGGGCGGGGGGTCATTATTTGAACAAACTTGAATCTACTCTACCTGAGGATATTTCCAATATGACTAAACGTGGCTTTTCTGTTCTTGAAAAGATTTTTTCCTTTATATTCCTATGTAAAACTTTGATCCCCCATTGTGGCCCCACCCTAACCCTGGGGGGTCATTTGAACAAAGTTGAATCTACACTATCTTAGAATGATTCCATATCAATATACTTAACAAAGCCTTGCTGTTCTTGAGAATATTTTTAAAGTTTTTTTCCCATATACTTTGATCCCCCATTGTGACCCCGCCCTACCCCCGGGTGTCATCATTTGAACAAACCTGAATCTACACTACCTGAGGATGCTTCCATATCAATATGACCAATCATGGCTTTGCTGTTCTTGAGAAGAAGATTTTTAAAGATTTTTTCCTATATATTCCTTTGTGAAACTTTGATCATCCATTTTGGCCCCATCCTACCGCGGGGGTCAAGATTTTATTAAACTTGAATCTACACTACCTGATGATGATTCCACATGAGTTTCATTTTTCCTGGCCCAGTGGTTCTTGAGAAGAAGATTTTTATAAGATGCTATTTATTTTTCACTAATTTGTAATTATCTCCCCTTGGAAGAGGGCATGGCCCTTCATATGAACAAACTTGAATCCCCTTCACCCAAGAATACTTTATGGCAAGTTTGGTTGAAATTGGCCCAGTGGTTCTTGAGAAGAAGTCAAAAATGTGAAAAGTTTACAGACAGACAGACAGACCCCGGACAAAATGTGATCAGAAAAGCTCACTTGAGCCTTCGGCTCAGGTGAGCTAATAAGAGGGTCATACTAATTATTTATTTTATTTGAATATCATATGTCACCAGTGTTTACAGGTGAGTCCGAATTTTAAATGCAGATTGGCCAATACCCTCACTTATCTCGAAATTTTGCAGCAAAATGATTCAAGTATGCGTTGGTTTCCTTATATTTTCGTAGACCTCTGGTCCCATAACAATTGAAAGTTGCCTGGTACTCATTAGGTGTAGATTTTGCATCTCTACTAGTTGGGTTTTTTTTTACCCCAGACAAGAAAAAAAAAACAATCAAAATAAACGGTCCAAGAATTATTTCTTTTTTAGTTGAAACCTTTTCAATTCTGTCTATTTGTTTCTAAAGCTGTCGAGAATTTGTCAAATTAGCATTTTCTGCCTCGATCTTGCAAAGCAATTTATTTTTCCTCCAGAAAATAGAATTATGATGTCAAATCATTCAAATGATATCAATAACATCAAAACGTACGACTTTTCTACACTTTTCTACACTTTATACAATGATTCCTCGCGATAAATTAAAAACTAAGTCTTTTTGATATCACAGAAAACTGCTTCTTCAATAAAAATGGAACTCGAACATTTTCGTATCTTGTGATTGGTCATCAACAAAATTACCTGGTTAAAAAATCCCTCTGATTCCATACAAAAGTACACAAAAGTACACTGAAGTTGATATTAAAAGGATGCTGGAGTTCCTCATTAACAACATTTATGTAGTATTCGGAGACCAGGTCGTCTAACAAACTGTTGGAATTCCAAAGGGCGCTAATTGTGCTTCTTTGTTAGCCGACTTGTTTTTACGTTCCTTTGAAGAGAATTTATTTAAAAACTTCTACATGAGAAGAAAACGCTGTGGCCTTCAACTCGAAATTCAGATACATTGACTACGTTTTATCAATTAACAATAGTTACTTCCATTCATTTGTCGACTCGATATATCCCAGTGGACGTGAAATAAAAGACACCAAACCTGTTTCATATTGGGTGTTGCTAAAACGCGGAACGGAACGGAAAACGGAAAAAATGATTCCAGGTTAAATCATTAAATATAAAACATATCATAAACAGTATATATCAAAAAAAATTCGTAATTAATCCTTCATTATTAAAATACGAGTTGATTTAGTCATGATCATTCGCTTATTCATGCAGATCTCTGAACATAAACAAAGCACACGGTACGGAAAACTAAACAGAAAATATCTAATGCCATACATATATACATGTAACATGTGGTAAAATATGGATGAGTGGGAAAACTTTATTGAACAGGGGCATCGGCAAGTATTATACATTTGGGAGGCGAACTGGATCGAAAAGGGGGAGGGGTCTAGCTAACTAGCTTAACTAAATAATTAAATTTCCGCCAAATCTTGATATTTCCCCCATCAAGTCAATTTTCCGATTGAAAAAGAACAATTAAGCATGCAACCAAAAAAAAGTTTTATCTGTTTGAAGTTACATGTACTATAAATAAAACAAACCCGGAAACCATTTATAAAACAAAACCATTATTTTTTAAATAGCTAGGAGCTAGTTTGTTTGTTTGTTTGTTTTTTCATCTTCAATGAAGATCACTCTGATCAATATGAAAAGCTAGTATTCGATAGCTTTGTGTACCATATGAGCAAAAAATTTCATAATTTCAATGCATATTTACCCATGCAACTTAATAACGCATATCTCTGTGCCCCACCCCGCCCACCCAATACTACAATATAAATAACAAAATTTTGAACGTTTCCAGCTTCCTCTCATAAACCGCTTAACCAGTTTCAACAAATTTTTGTACAGAGCATCTATGGACAAAGGGGGAAAATATGAATTTCATGGTCCGATGGATCCTTCACCAAAATTGTTAAATTCATGGACAAGGGTCAGGGATTCTGGAGCTAGGGTGGGGATCTATTGATAATTTAGTGAATATGCATAAATGCTTAAAATGCTTCCTCTCTCCCCTGTATACTCAGCAAACAAACTAAGTGCATGGTCATTATAGGCAAGACTGCCACTTCCAAAATTGTGATTTTCATGGCCTTTGGATCAAGGGTTCTGGTGTTAGGGCAGAGCTCTATTGATTATATAGTAAAAATTTATTAATTCTTCTAAAAAAAAATTCTCTGCCACTGGGTATTTGGCAAACATAATAAGTGCATAGTTATGATGAGCAAGGGTGCCTCTTATAAAATTGTGAAATTCATGGCCCTGGGTTCGGGTCTGGTGTTAGGGCTATGCTCTATTGATTACATAGTGAAAATGCATTATTTCTTTGAAAATCTTCTTCTCTGCCCCTGAGTATTTAGCAAAAACGCTAAGTGCATGTTTATGATGAACAAGGATGCATCTTGCAAACTGTGACCTCTGGGTCAGGGGTTCTGGTGGCACAGTGAGACTCTTTTCATTATATAGTAAAAATGCATTAAATCTTTAAAAATTAGGAGGTACAGAGAAAAAATTGTAATGAGCAAGGGTATTTTTTACCAGATTTGTGAAATTTTGGATCACTTGATCGAGCTCTATTGCTTGGCAGAGCTCTATTGATCTTATATAGAAATACTGTACTCTATTTAGAGAAGTTATTCCCCTTTGCTTTTCAACTTTGATAATTAATCACTGTTAATAACGTAATTGATTGGCCCATTGAATAAAAGAATTTAAAAAAAACTTTACACGCATATTACAAAAATATTTTCAAGTTTTTCATAGTGAGGTAGACTTGTAAATAATATATAAATAAAAATAAGACACAAATTCCTCGTCTTTATAAAATCTTTCAAAGAGCAAAGAGGTCAAACTAAAACGGTGCGAGATCAGTTTAAGCGCTCAAGCCCTGTTGTTTTGTTTAGTCTACATGATGCTAGTGACAAATTGGAGTGTATTGGCACTTGCAAGTACAGGCAAATAAATAGATCTACTTTTCGTTTGTAACCGAGTACTTGTAATATTTTATTGATTTCTGATCATCATATTTCTTTGCTTTTGGGTTACATATCTTCATCTCTCCATTTATTTTGTTTTACCTTATATTTTTATGGTTCCTTTACAAGGTTGTATTATACTCAGGTGACCATAAAGGCCCCTGGGCTTCTTATTTTAATTTCATATTCACTAAATTTTTACTAGTGAAAGAAGCATTACGTAAAAATTAAACAAAAATGTTTTGTTGCATTGCCTTTTTAATTGAATCAATTAATGCTAGCAGGGAATAAATTGTACAGGTTTTCATTATCAAAACTTTTCTTAACCTTTTTTTATATATATAAAAAGAAAATTGTTTGATAACATACAGTCTAAATTAAAAGGAGAAGTCCCTGATGAAACTGTAGCACTACTGCTTTTTACTTATTACAAAAAGAAGGGAAAAGAAGGACTCTGTATGGCAAATTATACCAAACCTGTAGGAGGAGTTCTTAAAAAGAATTTTCTTTATTTTTAGAAACCATGGCAACAGCGTTAGAAAAAAATCAATAACGAATCAAAAACCTGTAGAGAATAATGTACAGTTACAGTATATTTCAGTGTTGTCTAGTTTTGTACCATATTTATTGAAAATGGACCAAAACTGTAGGAGGGGTAGTATATTTAAAGAATTTCACAGAAATTTCTATTTTAGTAACCATGGCAACTTTGTTCCTCGAAATCAGACACTGTTCAAGAATTATGTATTTTATTTAGTCTACTTGTGTAGTGAATTTCATAGAAATCAGAGCAAAATCTAGTAGGATAAGCATTTTGAAGAAATGTTTACAGAAGAACAGCTAGACTAACGGAGAGACGGATGGACGAAGGACACCTTACTAATGCATAAGCTCTTGCCTCTGGCCAATAGAGCTAAACATTAATCTGCCTTTAAAAGCGAAAAGTTATTTTATAGTTAAGAAATTCAATGTTGTGAATTACAGAATACCAAATCAATGTACAGGCAACAACAGATATCCAAATTTTAGGGATAAAACAATCCAACAGGTTTTAAAAATACAAAATCACTAAAACAGAAGCGCTCAGCATTTCCCAGAAAGGTAGACATGCAATCATAATTGTGATAATCAAAAGAAAAACATTTAGAAGAACCTCTCTTATTTCACTTAAGGCAATTACTTTGGTTACAAAATAATGGAACGATGCACTACACAAGACGATACTGACATCAAACAGCAGTAATTAAGAGCGATCCACATATTTACAGCGTCTCTCATATAAATCGTTCTTTTCTTCTTTCAGACGAGCTTCTTTCTTTAACATTTCCCTCTGCAAGAAAACAAGTAATTAAAAAACTATTTAGATTTCCTAAAAAAGTCCATTGAAACAATACAAAACGGGAGCAGAACAATCACGAACCTCTAAAACATCAGAGGTGGCATCAGGTGCCATGGAGGAGTAAGCTCCCCTGTTCGACGGTCACACACGCCGTGTGCTCGTTGTAACAGAAAAATCCGTAGACAATTCAGAGTTTAAATATGGCCTAACAACTAGTATGAAAGACGTTAGTCAGCATTCAACTTATTGATAGATTTTATTTGCTGACAAAGGTATCGACCATAGAATTTGCAAAATAATTACTTCAAATGAGACTGTTGATATTCTTGTTTCATCAACTGTTTGTCAGTAGCTTGTCTCCTTTTAGAAATTGTTCGCACGTGGAGCATGCCTTTTCGTATCGAATCAACTGGGAGATTGATTGATTGATTGTATGCTGTTTTACGTCCCATTCGAGAATTTTTCACTCATATAGAGACGTCACCATATACCGGTGAAGGGCTTCAAATTTTGACCTTTACTCGGCACTTACGGCCATTGAGCAGTGAGGGATCTTTATCGTGCCAACGCCTGCCGTGACACGGGGCCTCGGGTTTTAAGGTCTCATCCGAAGGACCCGCAACTTTCACTTCAAAGTGCCGAGCGCATGGCGAAGGAACAGTTGCTACCCATTTTTTATCGACTTAGGTCAGTCGCGGCCGAGATTCGAACTCACGACCTCCCGATCACGGAGCGAGCGCTCTACCGTGAACGGTAACTGGGAGATATAAACCTCATTATGCAGGTGATAAGGTTATTTTGCTACATAAGTAAGGAATATTGACAATAGAAAAAGTCGGTCATCACGTTTATCATAAAGTTTTGTTGTTAGGTTACCTTTAGCGTCTTTTTCTAGTAAAGTATCAAAATATGAAATAGATGTGTCAGACGCTGTGGTATCTCAAACTTTTTAACATTAAATTGATTTTCTCTATTCAGACAAGACATCAATGTTCACATACCTGTTTCGAATTCAAATCTTTATCTTTTCTTTTCTTTAGACTTTCAATCTCTTGTAACTGTTGGTTGATCTTTCTTACAGCATTTAAATATGCCTCATGAGTAGCAACATCTTGCCAATTTAGTACGGCGTTGTTCGCTTTGGTTTGGTTTGATTGTTTTGCAGCAGTAACGTCTTCCCCCTTCTGTATGTCTTTCAATGTCATATCATCTTGGGTATTTGGATCTTTTTGTATGTATGCCTTTGGTCCACTCCAACTGAATCCAAGGTAAAATACAACACTCTTTTGCCACATACTCCTTGGGCTGGGGTAACTGTTTTTTACTTTTATGAAGGATTTGTTGCCGTTTGGACTTGTAACAGTATATAATATCTCCCATCCATCCATAAGTAATGTTCCCTTCAATTGTTGGAGCATTTCTTTTACCGGTTTTGATCGCCACAGAGCTTCACCATCTATGTATGTTTGTTTACATCTAATGTCTTTATAATAAACAATCCCACTAGAACCTCTTCCCTTCCCAAGGAAATAGTATGTTGTTTCTCTTCGACGAAAAGCTTCTTCCTTTTGTTTTGGGTATAATCTGTTGAATGCATTTTTCCATCTTCTAATCGCTTCTTCAACAGTTTCAACAGGATTGATTTTATATAATTTACTCTTCATTTTATGTTCGGTTGGCCAATGGATCATTACAAAGTACATGAATGCTTCCAATTGTGGTCGCTCATCATCACCCAGACGCAGTGTCAAATCGTATGCTCTTCTACTCCACTCTACGAGATTTTTAAAATCTTCCTCACGGAATGTTTTTCGGGTCATATTTTGAACAAGGGTCACCGTTATCAGAGTTACAAAATCATAAGCCTTAGCATACTGTGACATAATGTTATATGAAAGCTTTAACGCCATTTCATTTAAACGAGTTTCTCCATCTGGTGTGTTTCTCAAATCCAAAATACTAGATGAAGATCGACCACCGAGGCGTTTAACTCTTCGTCTTATGTAAGACGCTTTTGCCTCTGGAGAAAGATGATCAGGTATTTCACCCGTCTGTTCTCCAAAATAATTATCAAGATTCTCTCGAAGCTGAACAAGTTCGTACCTTGGATTGTAGCTTACATTCAGTTTTAAAATTTCTCCATCTTTTTCATTTTTAAGTTGTGCAAGCTTGTCTTCTATGACTTGCATAGTCTTTTCCGAGCGTTCCTGAAGATCTTTCAGGAACTCTAGGGCTTCCCCTGAAAAAATTTCGAATTCTTTTGAATTATTCATATTTACCAGATATTTATGTAAATCCATTTTTTCATCTTTTCCAGGGAACCATAGGAAAATCAAATCAAGAAGCTGAACGATGAGACGTACTTCTCCAAAATAGCCAGCATCATTTTCCCTGCTGAACCGTGATTCCTCACTTACTATCTGTTCCTTTGAAAATTTTTCTATTCCTTTCATTGCCAGTTTTACAATCTCTTGTATTTCTGAATTATTTGGGGCTTCACAATCAGCTAGATACGCTTTATACTTGAGTGTTAATTGCGTCTTGTATATTTGACCATAAGTGTCCCAGAGGTATGAATTGTCAGGTTTGCTTTGTACTGCAGTTTTGGCAAATTCCTCTGCTTTTCCCCAGTTAGCACTATGAATGTAAAATCTGGCTATCTGTTGTGCAAGCATGGGATCTTTAGTTTTTTCATATCCAGTCTCAAGCACTTCTGCTACTTTGTCTTTTCCTTCCTTTTCATTAATTTCTAATATTATTGGAGAGAACTTTTCTTTCTTTTGGTCTTCTGTAAATTCTCTTTTTTTCAAAACATCTTGTACAATTTTTTTTAGCTGTCTGACTGATGCATTCTCAGCAATAAAGAGGGGATGACGCAGAAATTCTATCATAATGTCACCAATCGACAAACTATCTTTCATGACGATGTAGTCCAGTATAGCTTTTGCAAAGAGTTTACTAATTATGGACAGTGCCTGGCCACCAGTAGAAACTCGAGCATTTCTATTGAGAAGAACCTCCGTCGATTGGCTAAGAGTGCTTTCCCAATTCCTGTACAAATTTGAAGGATGCCTTCGTCTGCCGCAAAATGCAGAAACGCTACCCATAGAGTAAAGAACACTGCCACTGCCCTTCTTTCTTTCCTCCATCAAAGTGTCAAATGCACTCAAAGGCACAGACTGAAAATCAATGTCGTAAGAGTTGATGAGAGACAGATACTTTATAAGATACATCTCTTTTTGTATATCAATACTGTCGACAAACTCCTTAACTGTGCGCTGGATGTAGTTTCTATCAAAATTTTCTTTCAAAATATTGAATGAAATGAGAAGTTTTGGATCGACTCCATTGTTGTTCCTGAACATTTCATCCAAGGATTGATACTTCCTTCTCAGCCACTCCAGCTCCTTTGTGGACAGTTCATGTTTTAGCTGAACTGTATGGCTGTCAGTAAAAGTGGGGAGGTTTGCTCGCCTAATGCATAGAAATAAGAGGCAGTAAATTGCCCTTGTGTCATTTTTGCAAGATATCCGAGCTTTGTATTCCAAGCGAGCATGTAAATCTTGAACTTTTTCCTCATCGCCATTATCAATAAGAAGAATAGGTGGCATTGGGTTGTTGGGGTCTTCGAAGTATTTCAACCTTTCTATTTGACTGCAAGTTTGATCTGTAATTTTTCTAATCAGAGAACACCTGTAACTTTTCCTGAATTGCCACAATATTTGATGTGCTGTTGTTGTTCCACCTGCACCGGGTTGATGAAACAAATAGAAACATGGTACTCGGGTGTCTTCAAATCTCTGATTTGGCTGAAGAAGTTTTTCTACACCTTGTTGAATTTTTTCCTGCTGACTTCGTCGTAAGACATGGTTATCTTCAAAATACAAGTTCCACCAAGTCACCTGCCCGCCTTGGTAGAATTTTTCCTCCATAAATCGTCGATGATTTTCAAGCTTGTGAGTGTCATGACAAATATCATCGATTTCGCATTCATTACTGCTAAGAATTTCAAGATCACAGAGCTCATTTCGAATTTTTTCCTTTAAATAACAAAATGCCCCTGCTGATGTTGGGAGCTGACATTTAGATACCTTTGGTAAAAAATTACTCACTTCCTTGACAATGTTATTTACGTGCTTCCAGGGTAAACCAATGATACACCTTTCTTTCAAAGTTTTCTTGTCCACACTGTCCCTTCGCAATAACTCATCTCGCCAATTTTCCATCAATTTCTCATTCTCTGACATTGCAATCCACTGATTCTGGAACTTAAGGATAACTTCCTCTGCAATCTCAAGCATGATGTCATAATTCTTTGAGAGAATAAGAAAAACTACCAAAGCCCTCTCATTTGGTATTTCTTGCTGTAAAAATCTTGTTACTTCTTTGAACCCTTCACTTCTTCTTTTTTTCCACTCCAATCTGTTTAACGGAATTTTCCGAAGAGGTTCATACCCATTGCAAAATATCCAAGGCTTGAGTTGACTTGTACTTAGCTCCTCCAGAACATTGTTTAAATTATCCGGATTACTGGCATTTTCTTCACTATTTCTGTCAAAATTATCTGTTGTGTAAACCTTTACAACTCTTTGCAAATCAGCCTCTACAAAATTGTATAAGCATTTTCCATCCAGACTTGAGTGAAAGTCAAATATTGCTGTTGGTTCCATGTTGAGCAAAAATTCAAAATTTTCCGACACAAAATCTTCATTCATTGCACTGTCTAATGGGCTGAGAAAAAGAATTGGGTATATGTCATTTGTGAGTTTTTCACTTCCTGCAGTGTAGAAATTCAAAAATTGTTCTCGTAAATTTACATTTGTCTCTGATGGCAAAGACTCCTCTTCCTTGCGTTTCCTATGTTCTGCAAGTTTTGGTTTTGATTCCATATAATTCTTCAAATCTTCATCTAGCAAAACTTTAGGTACATTTCTGTCAAAGTTGTAAATTCTTGGAACATTCTTCTCTCGAATGTAGAAAGTGTCATGATTCGTCAGACTGTAATTTGGTACAACATCAATTTCAACTACAAATAGGGGTTCTGCTTCTTCATTTGATAACACTTTATGCCTCACACTGACAAACTGGGGTGGTCTTAAACACTGTAAAACAATGCCTAATTGGTCCTTGTAGAAAGCTTGTTTAATTTGGTCATAAAAAACCTCCATGAATCTTGACTGGTTAATATACAAGCCTGCTACCTTTCCTTCAAGAAGACCATCTTTATCAGTATTCTCTACAATTCCAAAATGAATTGTGCCGTTTGTCCTCCCAGAAAAACAAGCACATGCAAATTTGATAGTTTCCTCTGCTATCCAATTCATTAGTGAAGACTGATCCTGATCATCTCTATGCCTGAAGCTATGCAAAGGTTCTATTAAATCAGATATGTAAAAGTTACTTGTTGTGAGTACTGCATGCCTTCTATAAGCATCTGTTGGTTTTGCTAGTGTATCAAATGTTCGAAATATTTCTTTGAATTTTGTCTCTGGGTCATTTTCTTCACTTTCACTTAAAACTCTGTTCTGGCAAATTAGAGAAGTGTCTGTGCCTTCCATTGCTTCGGAACCACTGGATGGGATAACAAGGTAGGGACCCTTTTTGGATTCTTCCTCTAGAATTGCATTTCTTATGCGCAGAAGTCTTTTTCTATCACCAAAAGGCATATCTCTAAATAAATGCCCTAAATCTGTAATATCACATTCCTCAAAAACTTTACCATCAATTTTTTCTCGCACAAAGACTTCTAGATGAATGGCTTCAATACCCTCCTTCTCGCAAAATGGTGCAAGAACAGATTTTAAGTCAGATGGCTTAATATCTTTAAATAGAATTGTAGGATGTAAGGCATCATGGAAGGAATCAGCTCCATCAGAATTTGAAACCAATTCTGTAAAAGAAAAAAGACAACACATCTTTGTCATAAGAAGTCTTCATTCAAATTCTTATCATAAGGATTCCCCTTAAATCTGTCTTTAAAAAATAATTGCAATATTCGGTGCTGTGATATTCAACTCTTAAAAAATCTTCAGTATTCATTAAACAGTTGACGTTCAGTCTCCCGACCAAGATGTAATGGTTCTGAATTGCATGGAGGAATAGTTATGTTCTCATAACAATGCGAACTGTGGTTATTTACTGAAATTAACAAACTCTTCAATATGTCAATTTGGTTGATGTTCTTTCTGTTACAGTATACAAGTATATATTTTCTCTACGTACATATTTTTTAAGGACAGATGATACAAACAAAAAAATGGATGCCTGGATTCGGATATGACCTATTTTAGTTGAAAATGATGCAAATGATAAATTTCTGAAATATAAGAAATTGTGAACTTTCTATGATGTTCAAATTCTACCTTTCTGCAACCATCCTTATTAATCTATACAATTTTTTTTCACTTAAAATCCAATCATTATGAAACTATGACTGAAAATTTGAAATCTATGCGGTTAAACTTATTCATTTTACTTTTATAAACAGGACTTAAGTTGTTATTTTTAAAATTTTTGATAAAAATTTGTTTTTATCATCTGTTCTTAAATAATGAAACTGAGGTTAGGGTTGGGCTAAAATCAGACAAAAATAACATTTAAAAAAAAATAATAATCTCCAGAACAGCAAGGCCGTGATAGACATATTGATTATAAATCATTACTATGATGCATGGATTCAAGTTCTTGTTTCATTTCCCCCTGGGGCTAGAATAAGATCACAATGAACATTTTCGGAATCCCAGATACCCGACAGCAGACTTCGGACCTCTCACTCCAGGGAACGTGTCAAAACGTTATTGGAATAATCCGAATACTAGTTTATGTTGTCTTTGTTAATTGAAATCAATAATCACATTTCATTTTCATTTGTATTTATTTATACCACTAACATTTTGTCCAATTCCCAATTTTTTTGGAAAAAAAACTGTTTCCCTCTCTTTCCGGAGAAAATATTTCATTTTATAAATAATGAAAAAGATGAAGATAACGATCTCAGAAAAATCTACAACAATACAAATCTGGGAACAAGACATAACACACGGACCCCGGAAATTCCAGAAGTGAGATCAGGTGCCTTTAACACCCGTTATCATATATCTAATAAATAGTCTATGATTAAAAAAACTTCTAAAAGTTTAGCGAATGCTAACGTTGAATTTCTTGGCGTTTTATCGTTGAATCCACACTTTTTAAAAGTTTTCTCCCTTGATCGCCATTGAGAGAGAGAGAGAGAGAGAGTTGTCAGTTACTGAGAAAATATTCAAACTACAATGAACACGTTGTGTATTTGAAAACGTATTTTTCTATTATAAGGTCCCTGTCAGTCGTCCTGTTTGCAATCTGCTGTCTGTTGTTTTGTTTGTTTTGTTTGTTTGTTTGTATGTTGTTTAACGTCCCTCTCGAGAATTTTTCACTCATATGGAGACGCCACCACTTGCCGGTGGAGAGCTGCAAATTTTTTTCCTATACTCGGCACTTACGGCCATTGAGCAGTGAGGGATCTTTTTCGTGCCAGCACCTACTGCGACACGGGACCTCGGTTTATACCGTCTCATCCGAAGGACGGGTCTCCATGTCCCACAGTGGGATTCGAACCCGCGACGTAAGGATCAACTCCTTACTCCGCGACTAGAGCAGACGCTCTAACCACTGCGCCACGCGGGCGACTGCTGTCTGTTGTACGATATCAGGTGTCTGAGATTCCAAAAATGTTCAATATGGAGTCAGAATTTTTCATTACATAAAGATAATTTTCATTTACCAAAATTAGAAAATTCTGAAAATCAGAAGGGCCAAAGTAACTCAGGTTAGCGTTCTGGCCCATGGTCCTCCTGTTTTCATGGTAATCGCAGCCAATTAAGGGTAATTTACTGAATGACACACATCAATTTCTCCCAATCCCTCCCAGAAATATTATTAACATACCAGGATCTGTGACACTTTCTTCATCCTCTGATATCTCAGACTCTCTCCGTTCAATATTGGTGTATCTCCATCTATACTTTTGTCAAGAACGTCAATATGAAATGATAAAAACCCTATTTCTTTTGAAACTACAGAAAGTATGAAAGCAGTAGCCAGCTTTTACATATTATGTTTGTTTACATATAACTTGATCTCTAGACTACTTTCAAAAACGATATTCCATGTCCTGGAAATTTAAATCGGCTTAAAAATGATTTTTACAAATTTCGAATTTGCTTTCAATTCGACATTTCGATATATCGACGACGTAATGTCAATTAACAATAATTACATCCATTCATAAGTCGACTCGATATATCCCAGTGAATATGAAATAAAACATATCACACAGAGTCTGACCCATTTGTTTCATATTTGAATATTTTACTAAAACAAGAGGTCCAAGGGCCTTAACGGTCACCTGAGTATAATACAACAATTTAGAAGATCCATAACTGATAAATGAAGCCTTGCTGCCCAAAAGCTAGAAAAATAGTATGATTACCATCAACAAAATAATTGATCTAGTATCTATCTGTCCCCCATTTATCACTATTACCAAGCAGACTATTAACAAAATATCTATATTTTAAACCCATACTTTTACTTCTCACATTGGCCTCTCTTGGCCTTTGAAGAACATTTAAAAGACAATTTGTTTTTGTCTCATTTTTATTCATCTATTATTTCCAAGTCTACCTGATCATTAAAACTATGAAAGTACTTTTTGTATTATACAATAAATATTCTTGCATAATTCTCTTATTCTATTAACCTTTCAAATACATTATTTACAGTGATTAATTATCAAAGGTGAATGGCAAAGGGGAATAACTTTGCTCAGCAGAATAGAAGTCAATAGAGTCCTGGTCAGGACCAGAACACTTGACTAAATGGTCCTGGTGTTCAAATTTCTGGTAAAAATACCCTTGCATATTAAAAATTTTACTCTGTTTGCCTTGAATATGCCCAGAAGCATACAAGATTTTCAAGGAAATGCATTTTCACGATATATTGAAATAAAGCCCCACCCTAACACCAGAACATCTGACCCAGGGGCCATGAACTCACAATTCTGGAAGAAACACCCTTGCTCATCATAACTATACACTTGTTTCTTTGCTTTATAACCAGTAGTAAAAAAAAAAAATATTTTGAAAGAAATTATGCATTTTCACTATATACTAAATAGAGCCCCACCCCCCTTTCACCAGAACCTGGGGCCATGAATTTCACAGTTTTGGAAGAGGGCTCAATGCTTATTACAATCATGCCAACAGTTTGACTGCTTGATGTCCAGGAGTGAAGAAGAAGATTTTTAAAGATTGCATTAATTTTGGTGGTTTTAGCCCACCCCTCAGGCCCCAGGGGGGCAGGGACCATGAAATTCAAAATTTTTGTTTCCCTTCACCCATAGATGCTATATGCCAAATTTGGTTGAAATTGGTTAAGCGTTTCAGAGAAGAAGCTAAAAAATGTTCAAATGTTAACGCACGATGCACGATGACGGACGAAAACGAATAGCAAAAGGTCACCTGAGTGACTCGGGTGACCTAAAAAGACGTTAGTGGTAATCTAATAACCAGAATAAGTAGTTCAATTAAATTACCTTTTTAGGTGGAGAGAAACTTGCAGAATATATCAGAAATGAATCTGAATGAAATACGAGACAATAGGAATGTGACATGGAAAAATCACTCATATATCATTTAGAATTACTAAGTATTTAAGACATACAGATGGACACACAGACAGAGTAATATGACCTATTACAGTGTACTTTATAACATGTCTTTCTCTTACAGTGAAATATCTGTTCAAAATTTGAAAATGTTACAGTGTGAATAAAAACCATGTTATACCGTCAAAACAAAATGTTGACAGAAAGGCAGACAGACAAACCACAAAATATTAAAAGTCTTTCTCTCATGATCAACTCCTTGTATTTAAAATTTTACAATGAAAACATTTTTTCAGTAACCATGTCATGAAAGATATATATTAGAACATACATATAAAAAGAGAAAGTGACCCAAATTTTGTAGTGTTATTCTGTCAAAATATGAAAACGTTACTTTGAAAATTGTTTGAGTTATTGCATCACAACAAAACAGTTTGAAAAGACAGATGAACGTGATTTCTTTCACGCAGGGTCCTAAAAAGCTAGATGGATATAACATGCATTGTGTTGTAAATGAAAAGAAAAGGATACATTTTTTTGTTCTTTTTTGTCACTCTCTTTCTTATTGAGGTTGGATACAATGTTTGAATGCATTCTGCCAAGTCGGTCTTTGTACTTTGTGTTACGTCCCCTTTTCCTTCCCACCAGTACTCAAACGAAATATCCTTTAAAAGATCTGGTTCTGCAATAGTCTTTCCCTCTGTCAGACGATACCTTTTTTGCAGCACTTTTTTCAAAAACTCAATCCTCCTTTCTTTCTCTGTGAATATTGAAATTTTTTTGTTTATATCATTTTAAGAACAATGATGTAAGCACTAAGCAGAAGAAGAGAGAAGGGATGGTGTAATCAAACTGTTCATATTGATAAAAAAAAATATCATTATACACTATATAACGTCATCTGTTGAATATAGCGTTGATTTTTCGTTATTTAAAGAATTTCTAGTATTCAAGCTTTTCCTTATTTGGCAAGGCTTCATACAAATTTATATAAGTGTCCCCTTTTCATTGATGCAATCGTAAAAAAAGTGACAAGTAGCCCAGATTTGCACAGATGAGAAAATCCTTTAACGATGTTAACTTAAATTGATCTGTAGGTTTCTTATTAAACTGCAACTGGCCCTCAAATTTTTTTTTACTTTTCTCACAATAAATAATGGATATCATTAAAATATAAAAATGTTTTCATCTGCTTTATGTTTATCTAGAAAGATTAAGCATTGTTTTAATGATTATTTAAGAAATAAATAACAAGTTTAAAAACTTCACTGGGAAATGAAGTGGGTCGGTCACGTGATCAAATCCTGTGAAGGCCGAAGGCCTTCTCAGAAAATTTGATCACGTACCGACCCACTTCATTTCCCAGTGAAGTTTTTAAACTTGTTATTTATTACTTATATATACATTTGAGACAGACAATTGAATATAATCGAATATAAATATTGCGCTAACTGTTCGTCGTAGATTTTGACAAATTACGCTAGTTGTAAATCGGCTTGAAAAGCGGTTACGCTTCAAATTCATCTGGCAAAGGATTCTGTTTCAGGGGCGTAGCTGCCTATACGCAAATACGCAAGTGCGTACACATCATTTACAAAAAAAAAAAAAAAAAGGAAGAGAGAGAGGGGGTATTCGAAGAAAAAAATCTCCGTTCTGTACCATCCAACAAATATCCGTGTTTGTGTCATACTGTTTCGATTTGAATTTTATCACAATTATATAATAAGATTTGAAATCCTTCATTAAATCATTGCCAAATCCAAATAAATCATCCATTAATTTTTAATTGTTCTTTAATTCACTGATATTTTTTTTTAAAGATCTTTTAGAAATTAAGTTTCTAACACATCGTTGAATGCTATGATCTACTAGTATATGATTTATACTACGATATTTTTTTGTTAATAATTTGCTTTTAGAATACGCGTTTTTGAACGTTGAAAAAAGAGTATATGATACCAATATATCGGTTAAATATTTAGCCTAACTACATGTACAATAAGATTCCATGGAAGTATTAAAACAATGAATATTAATATAATGTCTTTTATTTTCTAAACATTTAAAGCTAAATGACAATATTTATATTTTGCAAGAAAATGAATGAAATATTTGGTAAACCTCAGAGCTTCTGGGCCCTTACCGGCAGGCACGTAGTATCGGGGGGGGGGGGGCTGTCCCCACTTATTTTCATACCTAATCTATTACTATTGAAAATGTTTATTGAAAGGGTGGTCCCCCCTTTTTGTTGTAGTATAGTTAACGAGGTTCGCTCCTGAGCTTTTGAGCAGATTCTTATCTTAACCTATTTTTCAAAAATTCTGCATAATTTTTTAATTCTTACAATAAATTTGGATTCTACAATGCCAATTTAACTATATTCAGTTAAAACTCCATGATTAAATTCCAAACCAAAAGCATTAAGTGAGGAACTATATTTTGTGGCGGAAGGTTTTTTTTTTAGAAAAGATCATTTTTTTCTCTTTCGAAGTATTTAAAGTATGTTAAGTTTGGATTCCTATTTTTACATGCAGTCTGCACACATAGTTATTTTGTGCAGTGGACTGTTTTATACTGGTCCTAAATTATCTATTAAATAAACTGTCATGAATTCTATCATCATATTTGATAAATATAGCAAATATATTGTGGAAATGAAGAAAAAAATAGCCCTAATTTAGGCTTAAAATTAGCACTATTTTAGTAATATCTAAAAATTGACATCACAGACCCCCACTTTTAATTTTCTTTTCTGAATATATACGATACTTTTAACCATTCTTCTTAAATTCAGTAAAATGTCATTACTTTCAAATGATTTTTTTTGCTTGTTAAATTATAATGCCAGAAAAATGAAAACGTTTGAGTGCAAAAAGGTCAAATAATTGAACATGCGGAGTAATTCGAAAATTTCTTCGTTGTTACAAGTTTTAATGTGTCTATTTAAGATTAAATAAGACTGTGTTTGTTCACCATAATTTATTTGAACAAAAAATATTGAAGGAAAAACTTTAAAAATTGATTTATGTGTAAGACGTATTTACAGTGCAAAAAGGTCAAACTAAATGCTCTGTAGCGCCAAAAGAAGCGCATTGACCCCCATTTTTTGTTTTGATTTTTAATAAAGCTATGTGTATAAATTCTAAAAATATACTTGATAAAAAATTCTCATTACTTTTGATGGCAGGATCCAACCTCCTTAAATCATGGTAATTTGGTAATGTATTAATAAAATTTTGATTTCTGAAAGTTGGACACCCCCCCCCCCCCGCCCCCTTCCATTCTCTGCGTACACTTTATGTCCATGCTGGCTACGCGCCTGATCAAGTAAACGGAACATTCAGTAGGGAAATTTAGTATCAAAACAAAGGCCTAACAATTGGTATGAAACAAGTCAGCCACAATACGATCCAATGATAGGTTATATTTGTTAACAAGGTCATTATAACGACCATAGAATTTTCGAAATGCTGACTTTAAACGAGGTTGTTGATATCCCAGTAACATCAACTTATCTGTCAGTAGCCTTACTTGGTTTAAAAATTCACCGTGCTCAGAGCATCCTCTAGAGTATCGAGTAAGTTGGGAGAGAACCATATGCAAGTAATAGCATAATATAACTACATAAACTAGAACTGTCCAAAATGGACAAATACCCCCGATGGGTTTTTCAAAAACGTGCCAAATCACTAAACATATTTTATGGATTTAAGACGTGTTCACAATTTGTTTAAACATTTAGAGTGAAAATTTAATTGCTAATATTTTTTAATGAATGATGAACTAAGGTGCAGCCTAATAAAACATCAATACTAATAAGTATATTGTTTTAACTAGATTGAAAAAATAAATTGCAACTATCTGTCATCTTTGTGAGACATGACAGTCTGCAATTTATTTTTTGAAAAAAAACCATCATATTAAACAATACCAAATTAATCTTGATAACTTTAATCCAATTTTATTTTAAAAATAAAAAGCTGGTCATCCTGTAACTGTGTATTATAATTTGACAGACTATAAATTACAATGAAGAGAGTTAGAGAACAGAGATCTTTAATTCTCTGTTCTATTTTCAAGAGATATACCTGCTAGATCAGAAATGTTCTAACAGCTTCAGACATTGAACTCATTAATTAATCTTTAACTGGATGCATGTTCACTCATTACTCCCAAGGGACAAATGGATTTACACTATCTGTTATGTAATGCACCGTGAGTCTGTAGTACAACAGAAAATGGATATTTATGTCATTCTGTTGAAAACAAAGATTTTTTTAATCTGTTATATAAATCTTTATATAATGAAAAAAAAGAACTGTGTTATCTTGATGCAACGTTTTTTAATAAGGTCACTGCATGACTCATAGATTAACAGGGACTATCTACCAAAAAACTTTTTTTAATACTTGGTGATTTACTGAGTAGTTTTAAACAGCAATTCACATTTTTAAACAGATGTACGAACTGGAAGTTTTAGATTCTATGTCTCAAACCTACATGTACCCAAAATGACTAAGTCAATAAAAATTTTAAAAAAAAAAAGTGTAAAATGATGAAAAATTATCTAATAAAGATGAAAATATCAGGTTCGCACCTTCGTATAGTGAACAAGTGTACAAATTTTCAGACAAATCCATGCAATAGTCTCCGAGACCAGGTCCGGACAAAATCACGTCTACAGACAGGACAGATGGAATGCCGATCCCAGTTTCGTTTGCGGGGGTATAATAAGGGAAGTTGACGATGGAAAAGCTAAGTCATTTCGTTTGTCGTACAATTTAGTTGTTAGTTGGCCCTTATCGTCTATACTCAGTATAACATCCAAATATGAAACATGTCTCAGACATTGTGGTGTCTTTCATTTCAAGTTCACTTGAATACATCGAATTGACATGGAAGTAACAATTGTTTAAGGAATCACTGTCTAGTTAGTAGAGTATGCCAGGACATCAACGATAGTTGGAAACGTGGGATAATTTGCATAACGGGCAAAGCCCGTTATGCATAAATTATCCCACGTTTCCAACTATCGTTGATGTCCCTGGCATACTCTACTAACTAGACAGTGATTTCTTATATTTCCATTTCATTTTGAAATAAAATTGTAAATTTAGATTTTAAAAATGTAGACTATAATAGATTTAAATTACACGAGGTCTCACATGTCAATTTCAATAGTCCCCGACCACTGACGTCAAACACAAAGACAGCCGCACGATCATGTCTTAAGAAGAATATCAGCCCTACAGTCCTCTTATCAGTTCTTTCTCTCATAGAATGTACAGTTTTTGGCTTATATCCTTTACATAAAATGATGATAAAAAAAACTGATTGATTATAAAAAACCGACAAAACAATTAAAAAAAATATTTTTATTTTTTTTATAAATTTCAGTATTCTTTTCAGTGGGGGTTATTTCATTCAATAAGACGGTGAGACTAGTAGCAATTCCAAACAAACAATTTCAATTTGGTCTTGTATACCTTTTCCGAGTTCTTCTCCAACATCCGTTTGCTGAATTTTTTCCTTTATATCAGGTCGATCTTTGCCAACTTCCTCTAAAAAAGCTACAAAGGCTCTTTCCTTGGTGTATAAAATGTTTATCAAACATTTTGCTTTGTCTTTGTCTGTTACTTCAGATGATATTCGTTGCAAGTCATCATGTTCAATGACACAATCTGTGTACAAGTTGTCCACAATGTCTTGAGCACGCAATTCCTCCAACAGATACGTATAATTCTTCTGAATCTTTAGCCTATGCTTAGTGTCCATTTCATGAGTCTGAAAATTCAATAACACAGAAAATTTTTATCAGTACCATATAAATTTATATACATGTATATATTTATTGTTATAAACAATACTATTAATAATTTTCATAAACCTTGCCAAAAAGGATTTGTCATCCTTAACACTCAGTTTACACTTTGTTGCAAGAAATGTAAATAGATCTAAAATTAGAAACAAGGAATGCCTTTGTCGCCTGCTGTTGCATCATTAAAGATATAAATAAAACTAATGGTCTTCTATTTTTTTAAATAAAAAAAAAACACGGATAGTAAGACAGCGATAAATAATCTTTATCATAAAAGTTACAATCAACTTAAGTTCAAGTTAAATGTATAATCAAATTAAATCTATTAAAAATAATCATCCATTCATACGAGTTTATTTCAACAATCCCCAAGATCCCTAAGCCCAAGTCGGTATACCGATACTGGAGTAACGGAACAACTGGAACATCACAAAGGCTTTTCCGTCAAGTCGAGAACAACACCGGTTTTTTCTGTCAAGTCGAGAATTTTTTTTTACAAAAAACTTTAATAATAGAAGTTTAATTCAACAATTCCCGAGATTCAAGATCAAAAGTCTGTTTTATTTTTTAAAGACAGCTTATGGAACATTTGGAAAATCACATGGCGTTTAGTTTAAGCCATACTTCTCAAAATTCATAAGACGGATCAGAGTATTGTTGAAATTAGACCAAAGGTCAAGGTCAGGTGGACTGTAACGCTGATATTTTTCAAAATGTCTTATGACAAGCAGTGCACTTGCCAAATAGCACAAACCTCTAAAGAGTAAAAAAAAAAAATGAATATCGATACTATGGTGTATTTTTAAAAGTACGTCAAACGTCATATTCATAGATCACGAGGCCGGTAATTTTGGTATTTTACAACAAAAAAAACATTCTTCTATGCAATACATGAGCCAGTTGTCAAATCCCTGCCTTTAACATTTCTCAAACCCGCTTGGCGCAGTGGTTAGAGCGTTCGCTCTTGAGTCGCGGAGTAAGGAGTTGATCCTTACGTCGCAGGTTCAAATCCCACTGTGGGACGTGGAGACCGGTCCTTCGGATGAGACCGTATAAACCGAGGTCCCGTATCGCAGTAAGTTCTGGCACGAAAAAGATCCCTCACTGCTCAATTGACCGCAGAGCCAAGTATAGGTCAAAATTTGTAGCTCTCCACTGGCAAGTGGTGGCGTCTTCATATGAGTGAAACATTCTCGAGAGGGACGTTAAACAATTAACAAACAGACAAACAGTACTCAAAATATACGGTGGGACAGACAGACAGACGCCAGCAAAGTGATCCCTAAGTGTCGTTCTGCTATGCTGGCGAGACAACAATGGGTTTCCAGTGATGGAAATTCTTTAAATTTTATAATAATTGACTTTTATTACAAAGATTCTTTAAGGATGGAGTCTTGTCAGCATTTCAAAAAATTAAGTAATAGCGAGCGCAGCGAGCGGCGCGAAGCGCCGCTCGTCACTGCGAGCTCTAACGACAACGCCTGGGCGAAGAGAAAATTCGGACTACTGCACATTCATTCAATAGAATTTTTTTCCGCAGTAATTCTGACCCACAATGCATTGCTTCTTGTTCTCGCTGCTAACTTCATTCACGCGGTAGCAACAACTAAAATTTCACAAAAAATAAACTCACCTTAATTTAATGGATATTGCATGCAGATAGTAGATTAAACGTTCTTTGTTAAAATATGTGCACTTTTTAAACTTTGTTTATGGAAATGCAGCTAACGTACGTCATGTGACGTCACAGTCTAGACGTTCCAAATGTCTCGTGCGGTTTGAAGAGGCGGATCTTAAAATGAAGTGAACAATGCGCTCGCCCCAACGGTCGCACCGTCAACATATTAGTAAGATAAGATTTTGTCATGAAGAATGGGTGGAGCGGATCCCATTCTTCATGACGAAGATTTCTCTTAATATGATCTTACTGATTTAGAACAGAACCCCAGCCAATCAAATCAATGATTCAAAAATAAACTCCTCCCATGATTGTGTCATAATAGTGCCAAGCTTGAATTGGCCGCTCATTCTGTATAAATACAAATCGATATCACACACACACACACACACACAATATCGAACACAGTTTCAAAATGGACCTCCAAACCATTCAGGTAAGCATGGACTTAAATGAAGTTGTTCTTGATTAACTGGGAGACTGGGATGGTGAGGATATTAAAGCTACTGAGGCAATGAATATCCTTGTACCAAGAATCTTTTTATTTTTTCTATATAATTGTGGTTAATTGACAAGACCATAGCCAACAGGAGTGGACATCGCTCTAACACCACATAAAAGTACCATCGGGAACATTTTCCTTACTGAAGGAAATTAGCAACACTCTCGCTCCTCCTGTGCCCCCCTCCCCCACCCCCGCCCCAAATAAAAATTTGAAAATCATGCTTTAAATCGATCTTCAGAGACAACGCTGATATACATGACGACGATTGTATTTTTATGGAAATGTGTGGGAAAAATCTTATTGTGTAGAAAGGCGACAAAAAATTAGAGTGGAAATTACCCAAAAAAAGTGAATTCCAAGACCCGGAAAAATTTAAATATGATTTTGAAACAGTACATGTGTCTTGCATTATCTTTAAATTTTTTTCTTTTTGCGCGAGAAAAAAAAAGCCCATATAACTGTTAAATGGAACAATCAAACACCATTCCATAGAAATAGAACTATTCTTCAACACAAGGAATCGATTCTTCATGAGAATTGGAAACATTTGATTGGCTGAATAAGTGGGGTTATGTTCTTAGAGATATAAATGCACTCTGTGTCTGAATACTTCAGCAATGAACATCATGGTCGTAGGAACCGGGGGCCATGTCCCCCCCCCCCCCATAAATTTGCCAATATATAGAGTACTATAGAAAATGTAGATACTATATACTTAGTAGATGTTTGTGTCCCCTTAATAAAAACTACGGAAGCCGGTAGGTGCCAGGTAGAAAAATATTTTATCTGGCGGCCGCCAGGTAAAGAGATCTGGAGGCCGCCAGAAACTTTTCTGGCTGCCGCCAGATAAAATATTTTTTCTACCTGGCACCAACCAGCTTCTGTAAAAAAAAAAAAAAAAAAAAAGTCTAATTACCCTTTTTTTGGTTGTCAAGGAATTTTTGGTATTTGATAGTGCTCCCTCCACTGAAAATGTATGGCTGTGCCCCCCCCCCCCAACTGAAATTGCTTCCTACTGGCCTGAACATGAACAAGAACAAGTTATCGAACGATTTTAGGATACGGACGAATTTAGGGTATAGATAGTTTTCGTATGACGTATTTTCTCTCCGAGTTATTTCCCTTGGCCGCCATCTTGGTGGTCAACCTGGTAATTTTCCTCTTTGTCTTACCAAATTTAAGAGGATGTAGCACAAATATTTAGAAAAAATCTTTATAAAATAAAAATTATGAAATAGAGGAGGCCTAAATAAATGCATATATTTCAGAAAAACAATGTTTTTCTACCCAACAATGATCAGTATAAAAAGTTAAAGTTGGTTGAATAATGAAGGAATATGAACATGTTGACCTCCAATATGGCGGCCAACGGGAAATAACTCTTGCTAATTCAGGCCTACTGAAAACTATCTATATGACGATATATCATTTGGCTTGATATGATGATGTGAAACCAATGAAAATACGAAGTATATTTTTTTCTGGATTGATAGCATAAATACTAACACTAATTGCTACTGTGCATGCATTTGTAAATACTGAAGAAGTAAACTCTTCAGTACTTTCGAATGCATGTACAGTAGTGATTTTCATCTTGTATAAATTCTTTAGGTAATACAGAGAAGTACCCCGATCTTCTGTCATCGAGTGCATAAAGAAAATAAATTGAAGACTCACATATGGCCCAGGCACTGTAAGCCTTTGTTTAGTTAACTATAATATGTGTCCCATTGTTATTCTGATTATCCATCTCCGCCCCATATTGGTGTTTATAAAACGAAACATTCTTTTTTTTACTTTCGATTTGGTTTCTCTGTAAAGCATGATGGGAGTGATCGTTATTTCTGGAAATCACATAAGCTATGACGTCACAGCCTACTCCACTGCGTTACGGTATCCGGTGAAGCATGAAGCGGTTCGAGGACTTATGTACTTAGACAAGTAGAGTTTTTTCAAAAAGCTTACCGTCTTTAGCAACAACCTTAAACAGTAAACTGACCTAAACCTATCAGGCCGTATTATTCTTGAAAATTTCTTGACTCTGTATTTCTTCATTAGTTTTTTTCTGACATAAGCTCTACCAAGTGAAACGTTAACAGATGCTCGGCTGTCTCCTTAAACTTTGACTCTGCTGCTGAGATCATTCGGCAAACCTCGGCTGATTCCGTCACCTTTGTGATATGTAGATGAGGTACGAATCGGCCGAGGTGTTGCCGAGTGCTGCCGAGATTAGAATACATACAAGTTGTAAAGCTTGCATGCAATAAAGATCAATTCTGTTAACAATGAAAATATAGAAACGTTTTTTTGGTAATTGCTATAAAAAAAAACTATCATGTTAAATCGAATTAATTAGTTCCAATTTCCACTGTTCGTTTTGTCATATTTTTTTACGATTAAAAATCTTGAAAAATTGTTAAGTCGTACGAAAATTAGATCATCAGAAAATTATCTCCCTTGCCTTGAACAGCATTTCAGCCAATGAAATAATGGCAAATTTTCTCATCATGCAATTTCTGCCAATCACAAAAGAGAGGAAAGGCATAGTCCGAAGACTGTAAAATACTTCAACTCTGTATACCGTCTTCCAAGGAAGACGGTAACAAGAAATCACAGAGAATGACGACGATAGTATTATCGCAGAGCAAAACTGCAAAAAAATATAAAGTTAGTACTCTAGTAGGAAAAATTATTTATTTGTTTGTTTGTTTGTTTTTTAATTCAAATATGTTAACGATCATGTGACATTTTAAAATGGAAAAGGCACGTGATTAAGATGAACACAACTGTGTCCAAAACTATAGTGTTCACAACCCGAAGGTACTTTGAACAATTGTGAAGTACGAAAGCCGGTGTATATTGAATATTGACCCCCATGGAAAGATGACCGGGGTTCAATTTTCATCATAGAAAAATGCACTCTCTACCATCGGCTCATACATTCACCTCTGTCGTTGGCTCGCGTATATCACAATGTTAAACACAAGAAATAGTGCGTTTGTTTTAATCATTATAATTAAATTCCTGCACTAGTGTGTATCTTTTAAGGTATATATTTTCTAAGTAGCTCTAGGAATATCAGTTTAATTTGAAATAATTCTTGGAATATCATGTTTTTTACCTTATGTCAAAAATCTTGACGTGAGCCCATTGCAGAGGTGTCTGAGAGAGTAACGAACGACAACTCTGCAAGGGAGATTGAGAAAAATGACACGAGGTCTAAAGTATGGCATGCCGATTCCATCAAAATTATTTTCTGCACAATGATCACGATTTAAAACACGGGCTTGATGAAAAATATACACGAGTAAAATAAAAATGCACGTATCGGTAAAAATTGGACATAGTTTGAAAGGTTTTAACACAAACATAACGAAAAATACACGAATCCGAGTTTTTTTGTTTTACACGATTAATGGGTATAAAATGCACAAACGAACTCTTTATACGAACTTATGTAATCGAGAGAAAATGGCGTTGGTCGATGACATGCATGTTTCTTTGCTAAAGGCTTAAGTTCGATCCGATTTCTAGCTATAATGCCAATAGAACGAATGAAATGTTTTCTTGTGAAATGTAAAGCTGTTCGGAGATATTATGTTTTTCTTATATTGATCCTAGCCAAAATATAGAGGTATTATATGATACCGGACATATGTGCTATAATGCGGGGTAAAAAGGTACCATTGCATCTGATGCACTCGACTCCGAACTAAAAGTAATATTTTAAGACAAAACACTGCAAACTCTAAATTCCTATTATTAAACAGTACAGCTGACTATGATCTTGATTTAAAAAAAAAAAAAAAGAGGTGGATTTTTTTTTTTTAAATAAACGCGCTATGGCCTTTGAAAATTCTCTAACTTATAGAATGATACAACTTTAACGGAAAGTTCTTGTATGAAATAAAATTAACACATGCATAATAAGGGGATTCTTCATGAAAATGATGGCAGAATTATTGCAGATTATAATAATAAATTGTAGAATTTTTTTTTGGTACTTTTCATTTGTACTAATTATGAATTCATTTGGACAGATTTTTTTTTTCATTTAGTCATAGGTGATTATTCAGTTGGCTGGATATATATTTTTTTTTCAAAAAACTTAAAAAGGGGATTACCTGACCTTAGATATACACAGTATGTATTTAAAGTCAAACATTAAAAATATTTTATTTCTACTTTACTTATAAAATATATATCAATTTTGGTTGGATATCTTTAGCCCATGATATCGCATATTTTCATCATGATAAAAATCAAGACATTTCTATAATGGTAAGCATAACCATCATTCGTAATGGCGATTACTTGATAAACGTTTTCACGTTTAATAAAAAGGACCAGATAAAGGGAGAATATATATACTCTGATGTGCTTTATACACATGCGGTTTTGTGTTTTGTTACTTAAGATTTGTCCAAATGAAATAACAAAACTCTACTTTAATGATCCTAGCACCGGTAAACATATAATTAGTGGCGGATCTGGTTCGTGGATCGATTGGAGTCACAACATTTGAATCTATGTATTTATTAAAGTTTCAAATCGTTGGACCATAATGACACATCAGAAATTTTAAAACATTGTGAATTACTAAATACATCAACGCACAATGGTACAAATAAGAAATGGGAATGGATATGATAATAAATAGAAAGAACATAGAACGTGTTTTATCACTCTTGAAAAATGCAAATAAATCACGTTCTTTATGGAGCTCGACGTTTGACAATTTTTTTCCAAGATAACAAAATCTCTTTACATTTCGAATTCGTATGCATAAAATTTTAATCATTTTCCAGACACTTAGTTTCTTGTAATAACACTTTTTTGCCCAAATCTATGGCCATTATAAAAAGAACATGACTGTATAATTATAAAATGAAACTAGAGCCCAGCTCGTTGCAGAGCAACGAATAGGTCTTCCGTTGGAGCAGTGACCTTGAGTCAAGGTCATGCCATATTCTAAGATGATTAATAATCTTTTAAGGGACTATCAACTTGCAATGCTTCGCCAGTAGAAAGACAATAAAATAATGTACACTTTCTCTTTCGTGACCTTGAACTTGTCCAGATGACCTTGCATCAAGCCATGACACACTCTGGCTCTGACGCAAACCTATCTGTGTTACCGACTTGACAAGTTAACATCTGTTCTTTCAGACCACACATCCAGTAAAAGCATCTTGTTCTTAGTGACCTTAAACTTGAGTCAAGGCCATGACACAGTCTGTATGATATCAACAATACCCATTCAGAGTGTTTCCAACTTGACAAGTTTACACATGTTTTTTTTTTTCATTTCGTTTCCATATAATTGTAATTTATTACTTTTAACTCGCTGGCTTCAAATTTTATTGTAAATATGTTTTATGTCCAATTTCGATATTGAAAAACGTCGGTGTCCTTGAGTACGTGTACAAGATGCATTACGTTACCCTATCACATCATGTTTTATAACGCAGACCATACATGTTAAAAAAACCATTTTATTCATCAAAAATCTCTGCTTAATTATCTTTGCCGATTTCTTACAGAACTAGAGTGTTCCCAGGAACGCATGGTTTTAGCTTCAATAAAGATGTAACTAAGTCTAAAAGTTATCAGCAATTTATTTGCTACGGCATTGAATATAGTTCATGCCAAAAAAAAAAAAAATCCAGGGACAGTAAGACTGTGATAGAATCTAACAATCAAATAGAAATGCAAATCCTTAACCCCTGAAAGCCAAAATGGATATTAATGAAATTTGAATAAAGGAGATGGGTGAATATGACGAGCGATAAGCCTATAGTGTGACAAACATGAAGATGAAAAATTAAATTTCAATTATATCAAAATTTTCCTTGATATTTCGTCTAACATTAAAATATACTTTATATAAAATCTCTATAATTTGCAAAAATCCCTAAAAGATTGAAATTATTTGCCTGGGAAATATTAGACACACACTAAAGCGGGCAAAAAGAGTCATTTTCTCATACTATAATGCTATTTTTCGATATGAGTGGGTCTTCGCTCCACCTTTTTGAAAGTTAATCCTCAAAGTTTGCATAAAAATATATTTTTTTTGGTTACCAAAAATATGGAGCAATGACCCACTATACCTTAAAAATATACTTTTATGACATAACATTCGCATCTTTTCGAGAAATACTTGAAGTCCATTAAGTCAAGGGTCATATCACAAACATGATTTAAATGCCATTCTTCATCAGGACTTGTGTAGTCTAGTGGTTAGCGTGCTAGTCTCGAAAGAAAATAATACTCAGGATTTTTATTGCCAGGGTTCGAACCCCATGAATACCACATATTTATTTTTTTAATAAAAGAATAAATTTTGCCGAGAAATTTTTCCTCAGAAAAGTTTTATTTATCGTAATTTCATAAATTTCAATAATGAGAACTTTACTCTAAATACTAAATTCACAAACTGAACATGATTTTTTATATATCTGAAGCTATAGGCTTTTTGCACGCTATGTTCACCCATCTCCTTTATTATAAATAATTATATATAAATTATTTAAGTATGTGATTTCAACAATCCTTCGAAAGAGGCTTCAGTCTATCATATCAGCAATTGTCAGTCTACACCATCCATTTTGGAATACCGATCCCGTTGTATTTTCATAGTACTTAAATTTCAGTTTTTGTGGTTTCCTTTATTTCATACAGTGTCAAAATACATTGTCATGAGCTCATAAACATGTATAACTGTTAATTATCAAACCCT